TTTCTGTATTTAATTATTGTAAGAACGTACTTTGTGACAGATTCAAATCGAATAATTGTCCAACTAAACATGGTATAAAATACAAGATCAGATTTTAAAATTATTTCTTATATAACACTACTTATATGTATATACTATTAATTACATTAGAGTGATTCAGAAGTCAGGAACTAAAGTTGAAGACGTATCCTACTTATTTTTAGAAATGAAAAATGTCAGATCATTCGAATTTACTTTCTTATATTGTAATTATATACAAAATATATATATATGACTATATCTTTTTAATTATCAATACGATAAAATTTTCATCCTACCAATAAATTATTGAAAATTTCTTTTTAACAGTGTATAATTTTTTATAGATAGATCATTTTGTTTTCTAGAAAATATCATCACATCATCTATGTTTGGATACCTTTAAAACTTTTCATAAAATATTGTATGAAGGAAAGATTTTATTAGTTGCAAAAGCATATTATAAATAAACGTAAATTAAAATAAATGATTTATTAAAACTTAATTACCTATCTCCACTCAATCATTCTAAACAATTAACTACAAATTAATCTAAATATTTATTAGTATTACCTTACTTATTAATATTAACCCAAACATTTCATTCATATAGGACATTAATTGCCACTTTTTATCTATTCCAGCTATCACACAAAATGTATTGGGTCCTGTGTCTTTCCGTGGCTGTTACTGTTCAAGCATCGGTATATTTGTCTCCACCACTTAAGGTAACATCTTGCCTATAATTCTACTTATTTTTAATATACATCCTATATCAAAGTCTTTTTACTTGATACTCCATATCTTACGCCTTTAATTTACTAATTTACTATTTATACATTAATTTTAGGAAGAGCAATTGTTAACCGATACTCTTCTCCGAGAACTGATCAATCAAATGGGAAGCGAACTGGTGGATACAGCAGATTCTTATCTGGAGTATCAAGACAAACCGAAAGAAATTCCTATGGAATTACCTGCTGACTATGATGGTATAGACACTTTGAACCCCAATCCTAGCATTCGCGATCAGGAGTACTTGCAACATAGCACGTTATGGAGTCACCAACGTGTCAATAATAACGATAAGGTGGATGATAGACAGAGAATTAAACCTGGAAGCATAAAGAATATCAAGGATGAGAAAGAAAATGCTTTGCCTGCATATTGCACACCACCGAATCCTTGTCCGGTTGGATATACGAGTAAGTGATTAGTTTCTTCTCCAGATTGCGATAGTATAAATAATTCGTAAAAAAATGTATAACGTTTCCGAAAGTAACCGATATAATTTATTTAACATATTTGTGATTAACCCAACTACGTCCTCTGGATCATTATCAACTCAATCGAGTTTCTTTTATATTAAAAGATCTCTTGAATTTGAGGAAATTATGAAAAATACATTATAGATAGTACATAATTTCCTGCTTTAATTTTACTTAAAATATTAAAAATCTTTTTGTTTGTCAAAACAAAGAGAATTGGAACATAAATATTCGAGGAGCATAGCAGTGTTAGTGAAAATCAACGAGATTCATACTTATATTAATAGAGCTATGATTAAAAGTATTATATATTATATTTATTATAACATAATGTATATGATGTATTTTATATTAGTTAGAAAATCTAATCGGATTATGCTTATTGTTCAGGTGAAAATAATTGTATCGTGAATTTCGAAAATACAGCGGCATTCAGCCGGGATTATCAAAGCGCGCAAGATTGTATGTGTGACACGGAACACATGTTGGATTGTCCAGTTGACTCCGCAAACAGCAACAGTATGCCAAGCATGCATATCCCAAACTCTAATTTCAACCAAATCGTCGATCAGTTCCAAGCTGTAAGAGATATGTTTAATTTTTTTAAATTGAATTATCTGATCAAAGCGATAAAAGGATAATAAAAAAATCCTTAAATAATCGCTAAACTTTTATCTCTAAGTTTTTCTTTAATCGTTAACCTTGTTTTCTCTATCTTGAATGCACCTAGAAATAATAAACTCTCGTCACAAAATTGTAAAAAGAGTGAATTTTATGTGACGTTCGGAATAGAGAAAGTAATAAATTGTAAATATATTTAAAACAAAGAATAAACAACGTTTTCTTTTTCAAATTAAACTTTTAATCTTTTAATTTGAGTTATATTATTTAAAGTTTCATTCTTATTTTAATTTTCGGTTAATTACACACTAATGTAGGTAATAGATTTTATATAACGTTTAATATATTATTTCAGGAAGAAAATCCGTTTTTCCGAGGTGAAAAGTTGCCGATCGCGGCGAAGAAAGGTTTAAATGTCGTCTATTAAAATACCGGGTATATTCCACTGGAGACTATTAAGATGCAAGGATTGCGAAACTTTACAGTATTTTAACATATATCAAAAAACATCTTCAATCGAAAGTGTGATTCAGTAAAAGGAAAAACACAGAGAAGCATAAATGAATCTGCAGCTAGAACAGATTTTACATAATCTGGAAACCTGGTGCTAAATAAAATTACATAAATATTTTAATATTATATTACTAATTTTAATGCAGAGTAATGACTTCAAATCAGTGTACATATATTAAACAAGAGATATATTAAATATTCTAAATGTGTTATGTTTTTAAGAAATATATATATTCTGCTGCTAAAAATTAATTACTAAATTTCTATTAATCCACAAATTCTCTAGAATCTAGAATATTATTGCTGTTTCTCAAAATAATAAGTATTGGCAATTATGTTTATAAATGTTAGATAATTGATCTATCTGTAAAATATATTTGTAATATCTTTTTTTCGATAACATACTTAACGTTTGAGCTACATCTGGTAAGATAAGAATTTTAGAAATGTATTATGTACTTATGAGTTGTACTTTATTTTCACGGTAATGTAAAATCAGGTATTATCCCTATTATTTACAATATTCAAAAATATATACGTATTTTAAAGTGATGTATTGCATTTATTTCTACACATACAAAATATGTAAACTATGTCAAGAGCGTCAATTTAGCATATTATATATTTATATCCTATATCATTTATAGAGTTTTTATATAAATTATAAAATTAATTTACTGCACAAGATCCATTAAAATTTCTTCAATAATTGCAAACATGAAGCATCACTGCAATAAAAGTCAGTACTAATATATAAGTTAAGAAGTTGATCAATTTGAATTAAATTAAATCAGTTAATGTATAATAAATTTGAATTGTCCTCATACAAATCATATATTAACGTAAAAAGCAGCTTAAAATATTGAAAATTCTGTTATTGCTTCCTAAAACTTTTCAGTATTGGATATATATTGTTTAGTGCATCCTGTAGTTCGACTCGATTCTTTGCTCCTAAAATGTTATTATGTGTATTTAGAATAATCTTAATAATAAAAAAAAAGAATGATTAAAAAGCAACATTTTAATTCATTCTCACCTGTTAATACAATTTTACCATTTACAAATATAAGCAATACTACTCTTGGTGATACCATTCTATATATAAGACCTGGATAAAGCTCAGGTTCGTAACTAGAAAATTGACCATGTATATGATTTAAATTTTCTAGTTTAATCGGAAATTTTAAATCACATGTAGCAACTATATTTTGTATTTTAAAATTATAAAACTTGACCTACAACAACATATAATAAAAATAAAACATTATTAATTTATCACTTTCTCGTCTATGCAGCGTACACTATATAATACTTCTTACTGTAAAACCTAGCTTTTGAATTATTCTTGCGAACTTCCTTGTGGCTAGAAAAGAGTCCTCTTCACATCTGGCTCCTGTACACACTAATTTCCCTGAATGAAAAATCAATGCAGTAGCTCTAGGATTTCTAATTCTCATGACCAAACCCGTAAATCTTGCTGGATTATATTCAGAATTTCTCGTCCTTGTATTTATATACATAAGTGGTAATTCTATGCCTAAATTGACTGTAGAAACTACATTTCTAAAAGAAAAAGAAGAAAGTTTCGCTATATATCATACATCTATTTTTAAATTTTAAATAAAATAATAATCATTTTTATTTAAGGGACATTAAATTTATTTATCCCATATAAAATTTATTCACACATATAAAAGGTAATTTTTATGAAAATAGGAAAGATTTGTAATTCTAATAATTATATTACTGTAAGCATGGTTCTATCACTTCTTTTGTACTATTAGCTGGAGTCATTGGATTTATCAGTGATTGGGGGTTCAAATTTTGTGATGTACTTGGTCGCGGAACATTAGTCTGAAATAAAATATAAGAGTAAAAAAAAGAATATAAGAATAAGCGCACATTGTATAAACATATTTATTAATTTACCGTTTGCGGTGGACCCATCAAGTTATCCTCTCCAGCATTTTTTGCAGGGTTACCGAGTAACCTCTTTAACTCATTATCTTCTTGTACAATCGCAGTCATTTTGTGTGAGTTAACTCTTAAACGAATACAAAATGCTTACAATCATGCGAATCACCAACCATTTTGAACACTGCTCACAATTATGCTGTCACCTAAGACGCCATCTACCCTAGATGTAATCAGCTGATCTTTAGATGCATTTTGTCCATTCATGAAGCTTATCGTATTTACATATGTATTACCTGAAATTACATACATACATATACAATTTGTAAAATATCTGTAAATCTGCTCGTAATTGTAAATTACAAAAAATAAATGACTCTTTTATTTTTAATTTAGATGTGTTTGAATTTTCTCCCTATTTCTCTAAATAATTTTTAATATCATTTTCAAAATTATTTTCCTTCTGAATCTAAGTCGAATAATTTTTTTATAAAATATGAAAAACTTGAAACGCTTAAACTTCCTTTTTTTTATATTTTCCAAAATAATTTTACAAACATTTCCCAAATGTAATAAAAATAATTAAGATTCATTTTTTATGTTTATTGTTTAACTGTTTAATAGAATATTATGAATCATTGTAAAATCAATGTTTTTTAATATATATGGCTCTGATGTATATCTATACTGTCAACCAATTACATTTAAAAGTTTGATATGTTTCTAGTTGCCACTAACAACGAGAAAATAAGCATATATTTCTAAGTAAATCTTTGATTAATAATGCGATAAAAAGGGTAATAGGGGGTTATTAAGAATCGTTTTGAAATTTATTTATTGATACTTATTCGATTCATAATAATAAGGTGACAATCACTATGAGCTCAACTTTTGGCGGCAGTGATGGCAACAATAATTTAAATGTCATTATTTTTGATGCGTCAAAAAATGAAAGGAAAATGAACGAAGAATTTAAAATACTCCAAAGGAAGTTGAAATCAAGATGGAAATTCGTCGAGTAATGCATCACTACTTATATATTGTGGTTATACTTTAATTTAATTAAAAACAAGATACCTTTAACAATTATTGTTATTTTTCAGAAACAACGATATTTTAACAGAGGAATTGTTATCGACGTGCAAAATATTAGTATTGCCTGGTCCACAAAATAAATTTACAGAATTAGAAATAAATTCTATTAGAACGTTCTTAAATTCTGGTGGACATGTTTTAGTTATGCTTGGCGAAGGTGGTGAAAAAAAATCAAATACTAATGTAAACTTTTTATTGGAAGAATTTGGCATAATGGTGAACAATGGTATTTCATTGTAAAAGTCTTAAATGAAAGTGAAATTAAAAAAAAATTTACATACTCTTGCTTATTGTTTAATTTTTAGATAGTGTTATACGCATGAGTTACAGTCAAACGATGCATCCAAAGGAATGTTTAATTTCTCAAGGAATGTCAAATAAATCTATATTTTTAAGAAATAGCAATGAATACATGTAAATCACATAAATACAAAATATTGCTTAATTTATTTATTTGATTTAATTGGTTTACTACACAAAAATGATAATAATAATTTATTTTTAATCTATCTTATTTCAGAGACATGAACTTTTTGTATCCATATGGTGCAACTTTAAATGTAGTACAGCCATCAATAGTTGCGTTATCAAGTGGATCACTAGCAATTCCAACAAATAGACCTATTTCTGCTTTTCATTATAATGAACACAATGGTGGAAAGTTACTTGTTTTAGGTTCTTCAAGAATGTTAACCGACACATATATTGAAAAAGAAAAGAATGATTCATTAAGACAAATGATCTTTGACTTTTTTGAATCAAAAGATATTGTAATCAAAGAATCTCAAATGGATGATATAGATGTAAGTTTCTATATTATAATAGTTACTGAAATTCAAAATGATTATTTATAGTTATCAATGACAATATTATTTATGTAGTTCTGGGAATATAATTTTATACCAGATATAACACAGCAAGCTGATAATCCAAAAGTATGCACTCAAGATATGGATATAATGGATAATCCTCGTGATTATACCAAATTATTTAAACATCATCTTTATTCAATAAATTTAGATATGATACCAGTTTGTATAAAGGCTTATGAAGTGCTTGGCGTAAAACATGAACCGCTTAGTCTAATTCCACCACATTTTGAGGCCCCATTACCAGCCACACAAGCTTCGGTAAAATCTATTATTGTTTATTAAAATTATTCATCTTAAGTAATAATTATGACATAAAAATTTATTTATGCAGGTATTTCCACCAAGTTTCCAAGAATTACCACCACCAGCTTTGGAATTATTTGATTTAGATGAAGCTTTCAGTTCTGATTTATTGAAATTATCACAATTAACAAATAAATATATGGCAACAAAAACTTTATCCAAAGACGTGGAATTAGATCATTACATTCGTGAATTTGGGAGTATTGTTAGAATAAGTACTTCTGATACCCACACAGCTAAAGAAGTATTAAATGCTGTTTTTCAAAGTATCTGTAGCTACAAAGCTATGCATGAATGAGAATATTAGAAAATTGTATATATTGTGTATTTCTCATCCTACTTTTATAATATAAATGTACAGATATATATACAATTGAGAGATTATTTTTTACTAGTTAAAATCTTTAATTATCTTTAATTATATTTAATTCTTCCTTATCGGAAAATTTAATTTCATAAAAGTAAAAATTAGAGCAATACATATTTATTGACTTTATAGCACCTAGCCTCCAACCTAACATAAAAAAAAAGGTATGACTGAATTTCTTGATTTAATCTTTATGATTTGACTATTTATTCATATCTAATAATCATATTACATTCCTCGTCAAAAAGATAACCCAGGTATGCTATCTTTAATTTCACAATGACATGTGTAAAGTTTTTCGTCTGTAACCTATAATATCAAAACATTATGAGGTTTAATGTGTAACAAAAAAAATTATTTTAATAACTAAATGATAACACATGTACAATAAGAAAATAATAACATAAATTGTAACTAACAACAATTACTTATCAAACATATATACTTATTTAATAATGGGTACATCCCCTTTTATTTTCTATTACTTCTATTATACGATTTGGTATCGATATATGTAGTTTCTGGATATAATTTTGACTCAACGTATCTCATTCACGTACAATTGCATTTTTTAATTCTTATACATGTTGATATTGCTTTCCATTCCCGTATACGCCGTGAACAAGTTCTGTCTTTTCAATAATATTAAAATTGCCGTCGTCGAATTGCTGACATTGTCTCTTTTCTTGTGTCATAAAAATAATATTGGAACCCATCAGAACCATCCAAATTGAATCTTTTTCATCTAAAAATAGTACCCTTCTTCATTTCTTTTTCCAATGTATTTTGTATTTCATAGTTAACGAAACTTTCTTTTTCAATTTTAGCCTCTTAATATCTTTACGACGAACACTTGAAACACTGGCACTAACACTAGATTTTTCCATTATTTGCTTCGTTGTTAATTGCGAGTTGGAAGCTATATGCAAAATTGCTTGCTTATCACGATCGGATAATGATGACGGCCGACCAGTACTTTTTTTTTTGCCATAATCTTCAACATTTTTTAAGAAATTGTGTATTACTCTACGACTTCTTCTTATTACCTTCGATATTTTTGCTACTGATAACTGTTACTGTTTTAGTTCAAGAATTTGCTTTTTTTCAGACTCGTTTAATTTTTTTCCGCGTCCCATACTTACAAATTTATATAATATTGTGCTGTAATCTTTACTCGTTGATAGATCATGAACTACTGAGCAATTTCTAAACATATTAACAGAATGTGTTATCATTTTGACCTTAGTATAGATTAGTTTTTCTTTGTTACGCACTAAACCTCATAATATTTTTAATTATTTTCAACGAACCGCATATTCTGAGCTCATAATGTTTTGATATTATACATTACAGATGAAAAACTTTACACGCCTCATTGAGAAATTAAAGATAGCATACCTGGGTTATTTTTTTGACGAGGAGTATATAACGAACTTTAAAAATAGATGAAGTTTCATATTTAAATGATTTTATCCTCATTTGTGCACAAATCTCAAAATTAAAAACTACATAACAAACAAAGTGTGTACCGACCAGACTTGAGTGAGCTGTGAAACAAATACATATTGCATCCTAACACCTCGTCTAGGAATATATGCATAAACCATGAATCTGCACATTAGTGCCATCTGTCGTCGATATACTAAAATTCAAAGTAGAATAAAATTGATTATCATGACGGTATAATCACTGGTACAAATAATAATTGTCTGTGAATTTGTTAAGAATCAACAAACTGCAACATTTGTAGTTTACATAGTGGTAATCTTAGACGACAGTATGATTTTCATACTTTAAAATATTTTGTTTTATATCATTTCAACAATATTTATAGAGGATGTCGGTATTCTTTGTAAATGCGTAAGTAAAATTGTTTATTTGTATATTATTAGGTTATGTGGCTCTTTTTTGTAAGAAAAAAGTAACACATTATTTTATAAAAATATAGTGTATTGTATATTAAATATATTATAATATTGTAATATAAATGAGTGTATTACTTATTACTTTATATATGCTTATTTAGCAACCAAGATAGTGAAGTTGAAGGTGATTCAAATGGAGACTTACAAATTGCATCACCTGGTAATTCTGAGGCTCAACAGGCTTTGACTCAGTTTTGGCCTAAAGTCACAGACGAAATTAAAAAGATTACTACGGTAAGTAATTTCCATTCATATATGTTATAATATCATTATTACATATTCCTATTTTTATTTACTATTGAATTCATAGATGGATCTAAAAACACAATCATTGCCATTGGCTAGGATAAAAAAGATAATGAAACTGGATGGTGATGTAAAGATGATAAGCGCTGAGGCTCCTATGTTATTCTCTAAAGCAGCGGAAATCTTTATACATGAACTAACATTAAGAGCATGGGTACATACAGAAGATAATAAAAGACGTACTCTCCAAAGAAATGATATAGCAATGGCAATAACTAAGTATGATCAATTTGATTTTCTAATTGATATAGTGCCTAGAGATGAATTGAAACAAAGTAAAGCACAAACTGAAAGTACAGTTCGTACTTCTATGAACTCAGATCAAGTACATTACTACTTTCAATTAGCACAGCAACAAGCCTCTGCCAACCAAAATGTACAAAGTAGTAACGCTACTACACAACCTATACAAATTGTACAACCTTCTACTGGACAAATACAAACAATCAACATTGGTAGTCCTGTAGAACAGGTATATATCTTTTTGTAAAATATTTTGATTTCATTAAACAAAATTATATTTATTAATCGCATACTTTAATTACAGGAAAGTACAACTGCAAGTACAGCACAAACAGTAACAGTGCAGAATCCACAACAATCATCAGGTCAACAGATTATACAATTACAGCAAGCTCAACAAACACCTACAACACAAACGGGGGGAATACAAATTGTACAACAAATTGTAACACCTAGTGGAGAAATTCAACAAATACCAGTATGTATATTTTTTAGTGACTAATACGAGTTTACTATTAATCTATATATGTTTATTTATTCAATTTCATCTATGATTTTAGATACAATTAACGCCTCAGCAACTTCAGATGATTCGTATGCAAGTACAAGGTGGAAGTAACCAACCAATCATAATTCAAACTGCTCCTATACAAGCTCAACCTCAACTGATACAGGTTGCGCAAGGTGCTCAAGCACCCGTCTTTCTACAAGCTAGCGGAGCTGACAATGAGTAAATATTAATTAATTTTAAGGAATATTTAATATTTAGTACTATATAATTCTAAACAAAGAAACCGGATGAAACAATAGAAATAAGCTTGTATGGTAAGGAATAAAATCTTTTGTAAATTATTCCTAAAAAGAGCGTTTTATAACTTATTTCCTTATTAAACCACGATATCGTAAAAACAAAATTAAATATTAACAAATTTATGAATCTATATATTTCATTTAGATGGATTTAAAATTATAAGCTTATACCAGAAGTGTTATATGGTTTAAAACTTAGCAATTAAAGCATTTTTCGATAAAAGTGAAATTTTGTGATCATTTAACTACTTGGAGAGCTGTTTTCAAGAACGAATATATATCGCGGAGCGGTTATAAGATGCCGATCGAAGGATTGTCACTGAAGCGAAATGAAGTGAATTGAAGCGAAGTAAAGTGAAGAATAAAGATAAGCAGCCAACGTAAGATGTAATCTGATTCGTACGTCGCGTTCCTTAGCCGCTGGCTGCTTCGCATGGCTGAGCTTAGGACTGGCTGGTGCAACTTGTATTATGTTTCACGTTGCTGCGGTTCTTGTCTGGCAAGTCTTGTGCTCGGAGCCTTCAACAGTTCCGAAACATCATATAGTTATAAATATATTGAAATTTATCCACTTGCAAATTGTGTTAAATAGTTTTTGATTGCTCAATCATACAATATAATAATCTAGGAAAATATTTCATAAATATAACGTAATTTAAAAATGTTATAAGACAAAATTTAGGAAATCGAAATTCCTTATATGTAATTAGTTATTTTTCATGATTATAATAAATATAATTCTATTAATATTAAATTGTAAAATATTAATCATTAATTCATATATCTTCTTAATTAAAAAATTAAAGACCAAATATTGGCAAAACGCATCAGAGAAATGCTTACATAGAAATTTATTATACATTTCCGAAATCATAAAAGATCATTGTTACATAAAACAAAAATATCGAACTATCATTATCAAATTATTATAGCTTGATGAATATTTCCATCGCTACGGAGAATAACGGAAGGATGATTGCCCAAGCAGGAAGACTAAGAGATGAGGAAGAGGGTAAAGAGGATGGTGGCACGTCCTGAAGTCCTTTTATTAGCACGGAACAAAGACGTGCTCCATTTAGAGACGTTGCCACCATGGTTCTGGTTGCCAGGGAAACCTCGTGCGCGCAATGTTGCAGTCTCAAACGTACTCTCCGGAGATTTTAATTCTTACTTCGAGAACGCTTCGATGGGTCCTTCCACCTCGCGATCTACGCCACTGCTTGAATACTCGGATTTCACGACATGTTTACAAAGATCCTAGAGATAAGTTGAGAATGGCCGCCGCAGCCCATGCCTCCTCCATGGGTGTAAGGTGACAGCTGCCTGCGCCTGCGTTACATGCACACAGGGTGTCCGAAAATTAGCTTGCCATCTCGTTTATGATTTATGCTCACGCTGTTAATTAAGAGCGACATTCGCAAGCGCGCTTAAAATTCGTGACTTAATCCCCGATACTGCAAATTATAGCAACACCATAACGTATTAATTAAACGTACATATTAAATATTATACAACAAAATTTATCAATCAAATTTTTGTAAAAAATCAAATAAGACAAATAAATTATTTATGTTTGAAAAGATTTTTCAATATTGACAAAATTTTTTATTCGTTCTGCTCTTAACGAACAATTTTATTGCTATCACTAATTCTGGAATTTCTAGGACGTATAATCATAAAACTGCCTTTCTAACTGGCTACTTTCGAAATAGTAAATTATATCCGCAACATGAATTGACATTTTCGAATTGCACACCCAATATAAGCTAACATACGTTCATACATACCTACCTAGACGAATCTACCAATGTGTGTGCGCTCGAACCCCACCCCCACATACACATACACAAGAAAGAGAAAGAAATATCTCGCTTACTTAGCTGGGGCTGAACTCACCCGCAGGATCTCTACACGTGTGTGCACTTATTTTAGCAGGATCTTATCCTGAAAATGTGTCGTTCGACGAGAAACAAAAGACCACCTTTTTAAACGAAAAAAAAGGACGGCACTTTCACATTTTTTTCGAAACTAGATTTATGGCTGTTCCTTGTGTTTAATATTTCATCTAAAATGATGCACTTATACACACGTAAATATATTTTACAATCAAGATATGTATATCAAGTTTATTTTTAATTTCTTATTAGTAATGCAATTATAACAGTACTGTGTTATGACACTTGTTATAAACTTTTTCTATAAAAAAGAAAAATTATAGTAAAGTTCAATGAACTTCAATTGCGAAACTTGTCAATAATTATTCTTTCCTCGCAATTCTTTTTTCATATGGTGTTTTAATCAACTTTAATACTACATAAAATTACAATTTTAAGTTTCTTCAATACTCAACATAACAACACAAAATTCTGGTCCATTTAAAAATTATCACGTCAACTGTAATCACAATTCTCAAAATATTCTTGTAAATTCTTATAGAAAAAGATAAAATTTGGCTCCTATATAATTATTTCAATAAAAAGAAAGTTCTTACAAAGGCGTACCCTTGTTAACGATGAAAAGACAAGAGCGATTAGGTTTTCGTCAATATGCCTGCCGAAATGGGCAATCGAGTCTTCTCCGGCGAAAGTCAGTTTGTTTCGGCATATGTACATACCTGGACCTCGACAAAAGTAAATACTCCAACCCGTACACATGCATTTTTTCCTCGAGTGCTGGAGTCAGTGTGTACACCCTTGGGTGGTCGAACGCGCGCATTGGAGCATACTCATTTATACGTAGAGAGATAGACCACAAGCCTCCCGCATACTTCAAGACTCGCACCGTACTTACTTGCACGCCGTCTTATTTATCTGTACACAAGGGTTCCTCGCGGGCGTATATGGCATCACGGTGCCATTATATCATAAACGTACTAACCCCCATACCGCCTCCTTTTTCTCTGCTGAGGCAACGACTGCCTCGACCAACCCACAGGATGTCGACGCCATGTCTCCTTTACGTGCCTCTCTTTATTACCTTCGATCTCCGTCGAACGACTCTTGGGGAAACTCGACGACATCCATTTCGCGTAACACTTCGCGAGTTATATTGCATTTGTTCCCGTGGGCCACCGTGGCGCACGGTTACGTAGCTCCTTCTCTTTCCTTTTCTTTCTTCTAAGAGATGCTGTACGACTTGATTGTTATCGGCACATAGGTACGATATATTCGACGCTGGAATTATTTTGTGAACATAAACTATGGATTGGTTAACGTCAATTGAATTTAACTTGCTGACTGTGGATTTTTATACATTTATAATGTACATGTAATATGCAAAAACAAATAAAATATTTAGAGTATACTATCTGTTATAATATTTAGTAAGTAATACAATTCTTCATTTAGATATTTCATTATTTTAATTATACTCACAAAAATATAAATTTATATGAGTATACCTATAATTTATTGATTTGTAAATTTTGGGGGAAAATATTTTATAGAAGATGCTATTGTGCTTTGATTTTACTCTGATGCAATTCATAATCTATTTAACTTTTGAACTATTAAACTAACATTTAAATATCCTCCGTAGAAGATTAACAATACCTATTTAGGGGAAAAGTAATTAAGCTTATATTTAAAAATGATTTCAAATAAGACGAACTTCCCATGCAAATATTCTTCGAGATGCTTAAGAAAAGCATGTCTTTGATTAACCTGAAATTTGGTAAAGATTCCTGTTATCCAGTGTACTGTAAAACAACGGTCAGATTAGACATACTTATCCGATCCTGCTGCACTTATCCGTTATTATGTAAAAATACTAATCCCCTTTGTCGTTTCTAGACGGGTCCCCCTGATCGAAATCGCTTTTGTATTTCAGTTGATCTTTTGTTTACTATTTACAGATACTATACAGCATTGAAAAGCTTGTTCGACGCTTTTTCTGACAAATAAACGTCATGTGGAAACGAATTCACTTAATCATATTCGCCACTGTATGCACTTTGATACGAGAAATATTACGTATCAGGGATGAGAGCGAGATAATAAAGCAACCGCTGCACATTCTGCTTTATCCCGTATTCGAGCACATTCTTCTTTATCTCACATTTCATGTTACGCTACGTTCTTCAACGTTAATTTTAAGATTATTTTCTAAAGCTAACCCCCAAAATCATGATTTTGAATAATATCGAAAAGATTAAGTATCTATCTAACTCCATTGCTAATCTCGAATTTCCATATTTCAATCTTGCTCTCACTTTAGCAAACTATGAAAATTTTCTACATTAAAAAAAGATGTATAACAATTGAGACGAAAAATTATGCACACTAATAACAATTTTTTCATATTATACTCACATTTAAAATATTTTTTTAACGAATAATACAGCGAGTTTAAAATAGTAAATAATGAATAAAATAATATAATAATGAATTTCCGAAATACTTTAAATTATCGGCCTTAAATTATAAATTATAAATGTAATGTTACAGTACGTTAGGATACGTTGCATTCTGTGTGGAAAATTTGAAGAAAATGGCTTTTATTCTATAAATTGAGATGTCATGCAAAAAGCAGTTTTGAAAAATTTCACAGTAACATTATCTAAACTCTCAAGGAAATTTGAGAATCCATCTAGTTCGTATAAAACGCGCATCGGATGTAAGAGCAGGTGGTAGGAAATTAGGTTGCTACCCTTGTCTCGCATCATTCTGATTATCATAGTCAAAAATATTAGCTTCGTCTCGTGAGGGACGCTTTCATTACTTGCAACACTACACCGTGAAAATATTCACAAAGTGTTAGAATAATTAACTAGAAGCCTGATTTCCTTGCAACTTCAACATCTAAAATAGCAACATTTTGTTAAAACAAAATATTAAAAACAGAAAAAGGAATAATTCTATCAAATGCACAATTCGTATAAATTAAATAATTATATTAGTTATAATAAATTACAAGTATATTTACTTAACATTCTTACGGTCATCGATAGGTTATTTCAGATCCAAGAACCAATCTTTAGTTTTAATTTTCAACAAGATTAAAATTTCTGATATTCCTTAAACGCTTCGTGATTGATCATATTCCATCGATATTTTTAAAACATAAGTCCTGGATTTGCAGGTAAGACAGGCTAATTTATGGAATTATGTATATATATGCAAACCATACATTAATGTATAAAATTCAATTAGCTATATATAAATGTCAAAAAAAGAGTTTTTAAAAGATTCATAAATTCATAGAAAATTAATTCAAGAATTTAAAAATATTTATTTCGAAACTAGTAGTAGTAGTAGTACGAGCAATAGAGACTATGCAGAAAAGTTCATAAACATCGTTTTTTTAATAAAAATTGAAAACATTGAGCAAAAAATTTGGATAATCGTATTTTTTAAAAACTACGTAAACAAATGTTCAAATTTTGCTATACATATGATATAAGTGTAACTACACAAATTTAACATTTAATGACAGCTGTGAAGAAATATTCTGCACCACTTTTATCACGCCATAATCGGTAAAAAAGCAAAAATGGAAGTAGGAACATTCTTATTCCAAGAAGGCAGCAAGTATGACGTAGGGCTGCTGGACCTCCCGTCAAGAATTCTCTATCTCCGATTATAAAACAAAAGGGAAAAAAACGTACGCGTACCATGCTGTGGACAAGGTGCAAAAAAACAACGCGAACTATCATGTCGCATCACATTTCCCGACTCGTAGATTCGAAACCTGTCCCGTTCGTAAAAAAACGTTAAATCGGAAATAAGCGTGTACATCAAACATTAGTGAACAATGTGACTGCGACCAAACGCAATCTTCGTAAAGATCACCACTAATTGTTAACACTATAGCAACCATCTTTGGCATGTGGAAACCTCTCCGTGGATTAAAATCTCTTGCTGTGTATTAAACACGACCACCTTCGGTCGCACGTACTACGTATTCCATTGCTAATTCGTTAACCCCGTGCTGTGCATTCCTCTGCAGTTATCAGATCGTGTGCATAGACTACCTCGATTACCATTCCACGATGGGTTCCTTCCTCGGGTTGTAAACGAAAAAAAAGCAGCTCGGGTCTGTCAGTCGAGAGAGCGATTCATAAAAACGAACGGTGACAGGAGGTGACAATTATTCGAACAAGGGGGTAACCTGGCTGTGTCCGTCCTCTTCTTGCATCTGGACCCCTTCTTTGTCGTTTCTTTTCTTCGTCTGACAATCGGGTGGCCAAGCGAGTTACCATTAGCCTCTCTCATTCTAATTAACGAGCGACCTGTGCGCGTCCGACCAACGAAACGAGACAACGAATAGGAGTACCGACGGCAGGATGAAGATGGAGGATCAAACAAAGAGAGGGGATGGAGAGGGGATGAACGTGGAAGAAAGACGCCGAACGAGCCGGCCAACCACGTGACCACCGGGCGGGGGTGGCAGGCGACATTTCGCATGCTCAGAACTCCACAGGCTGCAGCATATCGCACACCGAGCCGATGCCCTTCGCAGAGAAACAATAGTGTTGACTGCGTCCGCGATACGAGGAATCCATCAAAGAGCCTCGAACGAAAACCGCGTATCGAGCCGACGTAACCTCGAAAAAGATCAATCTCTGCTATTCGCTTCGACCCATTGGCTCGAAACGTACATCTGTGCCGGATTCCATGGTTTCACCCCTCGCGCGACGAACGTATAAACCCAACCGAGAGATGTTTTCTCGCGAGATCGTCGGCCAAACTGTTTCAATTGCGTTATACTTGTAGTTTATTCCAAGGAATAATCTTTTACAGAAGATCCTTGTTGACCAAGCGGTTCTTTTACGTGTTGCTAGAAACGGTCGGTGATAGTGCATCCGTCGGTTGTCATGATGTTCTCGTGGTCGTGGAAAGTGCGAGAAAAGTGAGAAGTAGTGTGCTTAAACCCTATCAAGTGCATCGCGTACACACATTTACGTACACACGACACAAGCGAAGGGATGACGATGCTACTATCAGGAGGGAACCGAATACAGCTTCCTTGATCCACGAATATTCGCCGAGAAGCACCCTCGTTCTTGGTCCAGCTTAAACGCCGGATACAAGGTTTGAATAAACATTCGTTTGTTATACAGCTTGTTGCTTTGATTTCTTTTAACAATGATGAGCAAGTTTTTAGATTTGAAATGATAAATTAACTCGTAAACTGAAAACTCGTAAATTATATAACAATGATATTTATATCTATATATGCAATATATAACATAATAAACAAGCACAATTTCTGCGAAGTATAAATAAGTAAAATATAATAGCAAATTGTGCGCTGGGAATTACATAAAGTCAAAATTAATATCGTACATTAATTGTAAAATTATTTTTGTCTATCTATTTATATTATCTTTTCTATAAGTAAAAGAATGTACACACATGAAATGTTTTTTCTCAACATATCGGAAGCAATAGCCAAAACAAACGATCGAGAACAGTCAAATGACTTTGTTGATCGAGTGCCACGTGGGAAGCACAATGCATTCTGTCTGTATATATGTATGTATTCTACAATATGTATACGTTCCTTAAATTATTAGATGTACAGGAGTTACGCACGCTACGCGGATGTGCCTCTGCATATGCACACACATGTATAAACGCATCTACGGTCGCACTCACACGTGTAAATGTCATTATCAATTGAGCATGCGTAACTTATGCATCTCATTCGGCTTGTTACCAGTAATGTATTTTAATTGGTCAACCGCTGTGTAATGCCAAGTAATCCGTACTGAAAAACTGACTGAAATTTTCTCTCTATAAAAATGTTTTTTATACTAAAAACGGTCAGAAATAATTACCTAGAAAAGTTTGTGCGAGATAAATCTGCCAAAACGAACAAAACGTTTTGGAACGAGGTTGCGATTTCCATGGCCTCTGTTTTCGAGAGGCGAGGGAAAAGAAAAAGAGACGACGTAGGAAAGCCAGAGCATTCCGAACGATGGAGAAGCTTTTGTCTTGGTCCCGTAGTGTAACCATCCCTTCCTTATTTTTCTTCTTTCCTCCTTTCAAATGTAAGCTGACCGCGGCCCGTGGGACACACGAGTGTCGCGCACGAGAAACCTCCTGCTACGCATTCCTCTTCTCTATCCTTCTTTCGTTCGGTTGCGTTTCTTTGACGGCTGACGGACAGTGGCGAGGCAAGCAACTCAGCCGCGATAAACATTTCGGCACACGCTTTATTTAGATAAGTTTGGCCGCCCTTTTCAACGGTATAAATCTTTCGTGCCTTTCGGGGAAAATAAATAATAACGCAATTCCTTAACAGAGTGACAAGTACTAGGAATATGAAAGTACTTAGGAATACAATCATGGAAGAATACTGTTATATGATATCGTCTCTTTTATATAGATAGTTCGATAAATTATATCACAACTAAATGTAAATCAATCAGATAATTCCAGAGATGATGAGTCGGGCTTAAACTATAATCACTATTGTTATGTTATATTTGCTATGTTCAATTCATTGCCTTTATCCATATTAAAAAGATGCTGCAAACTATAAGAAGTGGAAAATGTATGTTAAACATATTAGAATTAAATTAAGATAAAACAACAAGTTTCAAGACATTTACGATTCGACCAGACGGACTTTTCAATTCTGACATATGTATCTATGTCTACATTAAAAAAGATATTAGAAAAATTATGATTTTCTTTCTTTTAATTGTATATTTCTTTTTATTATAATAAGAACAAATGCAATTTCTTAAGTTTCAGAGTATAATATGTATATAAATTTCTAATAGCATAGTTTCCAATATAACGATATGTGTATATATATATTTCATTCTTAAATCAAACTTTTAAACCAGACTTTTTAAGTTTTGATAATTATCAATATTACATTAAACATAAAAACGAAATATCCATTATTAAATTTCCACATAACGTACATATAATATCGGAAATGAATTTCAATAAGTTTCCCTAGATAAAAGCAGTCCATCAAGACCAATCAAAACAACTTCCATCAAAACTTATCGAGAAAAAAGTTGTACTCTCGATTCAAGCATCGGATAGTTACTATTATTCGCGCAAGTTTAAAAGTAACAATTTCACCGATCGTCGTGGTACATTGTCCAACGGGCAATTCGGGCGTAGTTCGTGCGCGTTTTTCTTTTCCACGCTTTCCGGTATCATTCAACGCAAAAAGAAAAAAACGAAGCGGCGGTATACAGTGACCGTTTAATATCGCGCATACTGCCCGTTGTTTCAAACAATTAATCGGTTATTTTTTTCTCCGACTTCGGACGTTGTTCGAGGACGTACATCGTTCTCGAAAAGAAAAATTGTCCGAGTATCTGGCTGTTGTTCAAACAACGTAGCCGCGCGCTAATTGATTCATCGTCGTGTTCCAGTGAACGACGTAACTTCCAGCCGACGCGATGCGTGTCACGGGGGAACAATTGCTTTCATACCCGCGCATATATGTGTATATATACATATGTATACATACGTGTATACATACACACATAGGGGATCATATATCTCCGATGCGATTGTCTGTACTTTTCTCGAAACGATCGTTCTACTGACAATGATTTATTCAATTACAAACATCCGATAGAAAATATTTGCCCGCGAAGACTACTGCCCCCGCATTGGAGAACGCGTAATTAATCATGAGCCCTAACAATTTAAGATCCTAAAATATTAGAATCGATCTGTTTACAGAGTTATAATTTCATTTGTTCCTTATTTTTCATTCAGTGTTGATTTTCATGTAAGAATTTGTTACGAATTTAGACTTTCATAGGTAAATAAATATACTTTGCAAAGTATTTAGGTTTAAAGATTTTGGAAAGAAGATTAAAGAAATTGTCTTAAACAAGTTCTAGTTACCTTTGTTTGTGATATTTGTAGAACTGTGATCTACACGTTACCTATGTTTCTATTTATTTAAATTTATTATTTAATGTATATTATTTTGAAAAAATATTTAATAGTAATTGTTTTATGAATGCGCAAGTTTAATGTTAAGCATTTAAAAATATTTCTTAATTTAGACTGAAAATTATTCTTCCATGATAATTACACCGCTTCATTAATATTTTCAATCAATCAATGTATTGGTTACTATTATCACCATATTACTAACTGTGAAACGACTGTTAAACTAGTCATTGAAGTCTGTAAAAATTCCACAATAGAATTATCATAATTATTTTCTCTCTTTGATTCTTCTCCTCTTTTTTGTGTGATATATTTTTTAATATTGCCATAATCCCTCTTGCCGTACGTAGTATAGAAAACCGTGTATACATTGGTACATTGTTATAGTTTGTTGAACTTTACTAACGGTAAACAGTTTTGAAATCCTGTTCCGTTTTATCGATGTCAATTTACAAATCAAAAGTTCAATGCCCTTTTATATATGTTTGAATATCATTAAAAACGCTATTGGAAGCTTAATCTACTTTGAATCTATGTTCGAATTAGAAATGACATGCATTCTAATTTGAATTGTAAGGTGTTTTTTTATTATAAAAAATTTAAGCATTTTTACTAATAAACCGAATAAAATTTGTACGTTGAGAAATAAATTCAAACAGAAAATTTGCACCTAACTTCAAAATTACTTAAAGCTATATACAGACAGTGCGAGGCAGAACGACGAGGCTGTCTCGAGTCTAGCGAACAATTGTCGGTATTTGGCGAGATCAAAGGTGCCTCGCAGCTCCTTATTCACTTCGTTTTAACATATATTGAACGATTTTGTCGGAAGCGTAGATAACTGCGATTCACCCTGCCTCGCGTATTCTGCTATCTACGTGACGGCATGATACGAGGCAGCCTCGCGGATCAGCCTCGCATTGTCTGTACATAGCTTAGGATTTAATCTCATTCGCCATTTGATCTCCAGAAAACAGACTCCACCCTATGTTAAAAAACTCGTTTAAGCAACCCATAAAATAAAACACCTTGATGCAAAAAATCAACAAAGACTTCATTTCCCGCCTTCTATCTATATACGTATGTATAATGGAGAACTGTAAAGATAATTATATAAACGAGTGCAGCTTCGTTACTTCTGATAGGCCCAACACAATCATAAAGATAAGCACGTATATTGACTGAAGGTGTCATATACAAATAAGAGTAATAAAGACATATAGCAACGTGTAACGTTGTGCGATAAAGAGCAGTATTTATATACGCACTTACTCGCCTTGCCCCTGTGCTGTTCCATTAATTATTATCTTTCCAGATTTTCTAGAATAAATCAATCTAACGAAAGCTTTTGAAATGACATTCTCTAAACACAGCGCTATGAAAACAATCGACAATATTCTCCGAAATAAATTCGACGTTTAAGAAAAATATAGAGAGATTGACTAGGAGAATCGAATCGAATCTGGGTATCTATAAATAAACCAAAATTAATCTTACGGAAGCGGTGTATCGTTGCGGCGTCGGTGTGAAAGCGCCCTTATGCAAGACAGTCTCTTTTTCGCAGTATAGTGCAGCGCGAAGTATATAGTAGGCGCAGATAAGGGCGGAGCACGGACAGATATAGCAACTTGGCAACATAAAGAATACATAATGTAAAACGTCGTGAAAGGAGGTTTCATTGGCTGCTCTCGAAGGTTCCTGGTATACGCCTACCCATCTGGCCACTCCACCTCTTCGACACGCAATTGGCAGACAATAACGAAGCTGTCCGCTTCGTGCACTAACCCTTTTTGCATCAACCGGAACACCATGGAACCGGCGAATACATGATCGGTTCAGTGCTGATTTTCGGGAACTTTTTTCCTTCCTTATTTTATGATAGATAGAGAAACAATAAAATAGAATATTGGAACGCTTATTTATTTTTGAAATATTCAGACTGATAACGTAATACTAAAGAAAGGACAATTTTTAATTACTAGCAGGCTTTTTTTAGTTATTAGGTTACATGGAATGTTTATGTTTACACCTTAAATTATTTATATCTATATACGTAAATGTCTTTTTTTCTAATACCATAAATCTTTCAAAGTAAGAATATCTTTATTGTCGTACATTTTTACAACCTTTACAGCGGTTTTATCATTTTATAGCTTCTAAAGTAGTAGATACATATTTCTCGTTTAGTTTCCGTTTTTTAGTTTTCTTTATGACAATTAATCATCGTTTTTTGATAAATGTAATACACAGATTTTGATTGAACACGACTTGAAATACATTCAATTCACTTTTTATTCGATTAAATTTAATCTAATACGGGTCAGATGATTCTTTTTAAAAAATTTCCATTCGAATTTAGCCCCTCGCATCAGAATCCTTTTTGGTATCGTTTTCTTGAATTTGTGCTGACATATATACACTTTTTTCCTAGAATATAATTACCGACTATCGAAGATGTGTTTATTTTTTTCTTTATTTCATGGAAGAATTATACAAAACCTACTCTATTCTAAATGAAATGATAACATCGAATTCCGGGAATTTCTTTTGATGTATTCAACTACAAGGAATTTTTTACAATTTTATCTTAAATATATATATATATATATATATATATATATATATATATACACACGCGTGTTAGTCTTTGTTCTTCATTATTTAAATAACTGTTTGATCAAGTAAAAGCCCAACGTGCATGTATTCATAAGTATTTTTACAAATTTATAAAATAAAAAACGTGTTTACAAATAAAAATTAAACAATTTAGATGTAAAAAGAAAAGAATTCGATCAAGGATTATTTGTGATTTCCAGGTGCCAAAACAATTGAGCTATTCTATCGACGGATTCTGTGATTAATTAACGATTCTATGATCCATCACACACTGGATGCATTACGTAATTTGGTAATTCGATAAAATCTTAAAAGCTGGTCCAAAAATAATAGTTTAATATTCCATTGCGGAAAATCTCAGACTATTCAATATTCTTCGTCTTTCATTTCAATATCAAATCAAGAGCTATTTTTGGTTATTCAATAACGCTCAGTTTTCATCCACTTTCATAAACTACCTCCGACACGTAGTTCCAGAAAAAAGGACTTCTATCTGTCCTACGGTATATCAAATGTTAAATGTTTTAAATTTTACGCTACAACCTTCAAAGAATGTAGACTTCCGGTCATAAGTCGACCGACCATCGCACATTTGACTGCTTTGAATAAGATGACTGTTAGGATGTATATACTTTTGATATTACGTAATTTCAACAGTTGATGTAAATACATTTGATACTTTTGTGACTTTATTTCATAATGTAAGTTACTCCATACTATAAAATCGTGGATATTTTAATTCCACTGAGTAACTTGTGGATAAATAACAAAATCAATTTAGAAAATCGTATCTGCATTCTAACAACCATTTTGTGCAAAATAAGCAAATGTTCGGGAACTTATGAACGGGAGCGTACAATTTACAATACACGTCGAATACATCGCACTGAAACTGAATGTTACATGCATTAACTGGTATATAATACCAATTGTTAATCGCGATTTTGTTTGTCGTTTTTTCTTCAGGCGCAGTGATATGTTAACCGAGGACAATGATCCGACGAAACCAGCAGGCGTTTTAGACAATGCTGGCAACGTGTCTTCGTCGACAGAGGCCTCGGTACAGCACCCTCGAGCCGCAAACAATGGTAAATAAAGCTCCTCCATTCCGGGTCTACTTAAAAGGCTACCCTTTTAAAGGTCCGTTTAGAAACCAAATCGCCATTTTTGCCTCCCTTTTATTAATTTATTTATTCGTTTATTTGTTCTCAATTTTCCTTCTTTTTCGTCTCGTCGATGCAACATAACACATAATCGCGATGATGAAGTATCCTTGGGAAACAAAAAGTGAAAAATTTGTGTTTATAACGTTTCGCACCATGGACAATGATAGCCGAAACCGGACCTGCAATAAAACGGTTTAAATTCGACGTTTTGAAAAGGCTTCTGTCTGTATTTCCCGCTTCCCTTTTGCGTGTGCCGCCGGTCGATTGAATTAAAACGAGAAACCCGGTGGCTGGTGGTTGCGCCGCGTCATGTCACGCCACTGGATTCTTCTATTCTATAAAACACGTACACCGAAATGAACAGGTAGTTTTCATAACGGACCTCCTAGCTAATTGCTTGGGAAATTAATTACATATCGCGGTTCAAAATGAAACGAAATATTCTCTCGCCATGACGCCCGGTAACATCTGTATACTTCCGGTCGCGGAACAGCTTTCCATTGTGTTGTTTTATGTTACAAATACATGAAATACGTATTACTGAATATTATTCCGGGAAATTTAATTTAACCTGAATATGCATTTTTTTGTTTTATAACATTTTCCGAAACAATGTCATTTCTTTATTTGGATTTAAATAGAATGTATTAATTAAACATTTATATTGTTTATTCTTCATCCATTGTTCCAACTGTTCAAACGGAAAAATAATTTTAAATGTAGATAATGCTATCGAGAAGTTGCAAAATAGGTACACAAATTAATAATAACAAAAATAGGTACACAATAGGTATCTTTCTAGAAAGATGATAAAGATATCCCAATTAATAAATTATACGAATCACGATTAAGGATTGTGATGTTTTACTTTGTGGTTTGAACGATGGTTAAATATAAAGCCGGTTCTTTTGAAATTTTTGCATTTACAGTTCTTTAAGTGTATTTTATTCGCGTGTTATATAAGACTTTTTGCAAGTGAGCTTTATTTATATTATATTTAGAGTTACATTTGTCACTATAATATTATTTTAATTTCCTTTTTGTGGCTTGAAGTATGGTTGACTATAAATTGTGCTATTTTGTATATACAAAAAGCCGAAAGAAAGAACACGTTAAGAAAATATACCATCTTTGTTGCAATATTTTATATGTTTAAATTATAAGAATTATCACAATAAATCGTAGCTTTGTAACAATTCTAAATTTAATGAATGAAATTTATATTCTCGACTTCTATTACCACGAAATGACGGAAGTTATTCAGCAGAAAACTGAAATTCCACTTAGCAGAAAGTAGTTGCAACAGTAACAAACCTAGAAACATGTTTCTGTGAATTGTATCATTATCGATGATACAGTTATAATGTACAGAACAGAGAATAATATATCAGGTTGTCCGAAAAGTTTCTTTCGTTTTATAAGGAAATAATAGACGCACAATGTTTCTCGTTTCATATTAGTTTATTGAATTGTGCATGAACATAATAATAGAAATAGAACGAAATGGATCATACCTAATTCAATAAAATAATATAAAACAGAAATTGTTGTTCATCTATTATCACCTTATGAAACGAAAGAAACTTTTCGGACAACCTAATAGAACAATATATAATATTGTAAATTACATCATTGCCAATGACAGAGTTATAATATCAAAGGCGTTATAACTAAAGAGATGTGAACGTGAATCATTTTGCTCATACTGGCAGAAACGGAAGTCAAGAACGAGGTGCAAGATTGTCCCGAAAACGACAGCGTGCCCAGCGGGGAATTATACATCGACGAGAATGCCGAGGAAAAGGAACAAGAATATCCGGATTCTATGGAAAAGGCGGACTACAGTTCGTTGTACGGAGCCAATCAATATTATAACAGGCACGTACTTCTCATGCTCGAATCGCATCATCATTCATCTTTGCCCTCAAACATATCCTGATTTCTAATCAATGGCTGACTATGTTCCTATATGGTATTCCAATATTAATAACAGTCACTGTATATAAATATAATATTTACAAATTGGTTTGTAAACGTTCGTTAACATGGAAACTTCGTGCTATTAGTCTGTACAACTCACCTCCCTACGGGACAACCACAGCCGGGAAAAACACCTCGGGCTTGCAAAGTTCTTATCTGACCTCATACACGACGCCCAGCTCCATGTCTCAATATTCATCTTACGCTACATACAACAGCGGCACCACGAATTTCCCCAACGTGGCTCAAAATATATCACCGTCTTCACAGGTACTAAAAAAGAAAGAAACCATTAGAATTTATTACTCTTATTATCCTCATTACCGTTTCATCTATGGTTTTTCAGAAGCTAGATTACAGCGCCTACAGTAGCAGTTTGTATGGAAATGACAGGGTACCATTACAGTATTCCGGATATTACCCCATGCATGGTTACCACACGACACCCGCTTCGTTTAACATTGGAAACCTAAATTTTGCTGGTAACGTTCCTATCGACTTCTTCTCTACCTCTTCGGCATTATCAGGCACTTCCTCGTCGAGCAAAATTTTAATCACCGATGCAACCAGAATCTTAAATATCGCTGCTGTATTGCATGAGAACTGTTGAATATCCGGTTCGCGTTACATCATACAAAGTGACTCATAGGGAGTAGAATAATTATCTTCTGATTATATCTTATACTGCAGACGTGAACAAATTTAGAGATCTAAAGATTGAGTAAGGTCATTGTTTTTTTCTTCGTTTTAGGCTATTCTCTCTTCTTATATATATATATATACTTTTGAAAATGAAACAGTTTTCGTTTTTTTAAGTATATAGAATACAACAATATTGAAAAAGGTAATGAAGAATTGGATTATTGATAAATCACCTTGTATTGTTAGGTTGCTAGTTGTATTAAATCAACATTGAAAGGACAGGACAGCAATTTCATTAAATTGAATACTTGAAATACATAAAAGGAGAGTAGAGAAATTTTATAGTTCCATATAAGAGTATGTAAAATTATACCCAAACTTTTAAATGTTAAACTCTGGTTTTATCAAATTATTTCAATACAAAATAAATTAATATTAGGAAATATTTTTCTTTGCATTATATGATGTTTTATTAATTTTTGTTTCTCTTTGTTTCGTTTGTTTCTTTTTCAGGTTCCAGAAATACTAAGAATTTTCTTATTAATTACTTAATATTTTTGTCCATTGATTTAAGTAGCAACGTTTTACTATGTTTTTATGTGTAAATTCTTGCGACAATTACGATTTATTTGCAATTATGATTTATCAGTAACGACTTCCCTTTTTGTAATAAGATTCGACAAAGTCTGCGCTCACGTTGGACGCAACAACTCACGATGCCAGCGATCTTACCGCACGAGAAACCGCAAACATCGAAGGTAACACGATTCGTACGTGTGATTTTTATATCTCCACTTTTTGCGTCAATATGTTCTCCTTGAGCGTGTTCCAACAGTTGTCGAATAAACAAATAAATGCTGAAAAGCGTAAAAGTGTTATATGTATACATATAGATATAGCTATAGATACGTCCTATGTCTTGCAATTAAGAAAATATTTAAATTATCTGATAAAATAATCTTATTTAAAATAGAATATTACGAATATATATTTATTAATACCTTTTTTTGTTGAAATAGCATGTAAAATTCTAGTTATTCCTGAATCAGCCTCTATAAATGTTTAAATTTCTATTAATATAAGTTAATATGGCTGCTTGTTCGCTGAACACGTGGGCGGTAGCGCAATATATGTTTAATCTCTGTTAATAGCATAAGAATATACAAGATATAAAAAGAACTAAAAGATATAGGCATATATAATTTTTAGTTGTAAAATTATTGGCTTCTATCATTTTCTGTTTTGCATCCTAATTTGCTTTATAAGAAAAAGAGTTTCATATAAAAGTACTTATAAGTAAAAAAAATATTTTTTTTCAGTTTTATTTCCTTACCTATTTAAAGAAATCTTTTAATGAATAGCAAAAATATCTATAGCGCACTTTCTTTGTTAGGGAAGAAAATGTGCAATAACGTTTAATGAACGTGTTCCAGGAGCGACAGCGAAACCTTGCAGACGCGGAAGACGCCAGAGCGGAAGTGGAAACAGTATAGGTTCTGCGGATACGACAGAAGCCGGTCCTGACCGGATATTCATCTGGGACCTGGACGAAACCATAGTTGTATTTCACTCCTTGTTAACTGGGCAATTTGCAACGAAGCACCGTAAGGATCCGGTTCTTTTGGGCCAAGTGGCGTACAGGATGGAAGAAATGATATTCAATTTGGCTGATACTCACTTCTTTTTCAACGACGTCGAGGTGAGGAGGCAGAACCAGACTTCAGACTTCAAATACACAGGATATTCTATAGTTGAAACACGTACAAGATTGATGCGTCTAGAAAAAGCAAAATCTCTTACTAAAATGTTATATTCTATCAGAAATTTAATTTTATACGTATTCGGATTATTACGTGTCATTAATTTTGAAACTCTATTTTTGATCTTCCTGTAGGATTGTGACCAAGTACACATCGATGATGTATCATCAGATGATAATGGGCAAGACCTGTCTTCTTACAATTTTGCTAACGATGGTTTCCAATGCGCGTCTGCGAACAACGGTATATGTTTGGCTTCCGGTGTTAGAGGTGGAGTCGATTGGATGCGAAAATTAGCCTTTCGCTATCGAAAAATTAAAGAGATCTATAATAATTATCGAAACAATGTCGGCGGTTTATTGGGTGCTGCAAAACAAGAACAATGGTTACAACTACGTTCTGAGATTGAAGTGCTCACCGATAACTGGTTAACGTCAGCTGTAAAATGTTTAAGTCTCATAAATAAAAGAAGTGACTGCATTAACATTCTGGTTACTACCACGCAATTAGTACCGGCTTTATCTAAAGTACTGCTTTTTGGGATTGGCGGAATATTTCCAATCGAAAATATTTATTCGGCCTCGAAAATCGGTAAGTTTTACAAAGGAATTTAAGTGTGCTTAATTTAAAGCCATCATTGAATCGCATAACGTTTGAAATTTTTGTAATCGTCTATTAAATACCATTTGAACCGATATATACATCAAAACGTTATTAATCACAATTTATATTATAAAAGTTCTATAAGTAATATAGATTCATCATTTCTAGGAAAAGAGAGCTGCTTTGGAAGAGTAGTTGCGCGATTTGGTCGAAGATGCACATATGTGGTAATAGGTGATGACTCTGATGAAGAAACGGCAGCACGTGCCCATAATTTCCCATTTTGGAGAATAAACAGTCACTCGGACACACAGTCGTTATACAACGCCTTAGAAATGGGATTTCTTTAAGCAGAGGATACGTTTATAAAGCGAATAGGTTTACGGGGGGAAGGAAAATTTGGGAAAGTATGTCCTAAACGAGAAACATCTTACAATTAGTCATAACGGGGGCTTATACAAGATATTTCTATATTCTTTACAATCGATAATGAGAGTATAAAAAAAGACGCTTTTATCGAGTGAACCTTTTAAACATTCCTATTATTTATCGATCGTAATATGTAAATTGAGGATCGGCTGTTCCTCTAAGATCGCCATACACGATCATCGATCGTAATCTATTTGTCGATCGTCAAATGTGATCGATCGGAGCAGGGTCCACAGGTGATATACAATGAAAGTAAAAGAAAGTAATGAGACAAAAGTGAAAATTAAAGAGTTATATATAATACGAATATTTCTAATTAATTACTGCACAGTCTCGACCATATATAAAAATTAATTTGTTGCAAACTGCAAGTATGTCTCGTGTACTTAAACGTGTTGCGTTTCTTGCTCTTACAAATGTACGTATAAAAACTAAACTGGTCGAAAAGAAATTAGATTCACAAGCAGGATGCTGTTACACGTAACATTCATTAGTTAATATTTTGATCGATGTATATTTCGAAACATTACGGAAATTTTATATGAATATTGTGATACGGTTTAATCCAATTATTTAATTATAGCATGATAGCAGTAAATGTAATAAAGCATGGTCAAACGGATACTTTTTAACAGTAGTTTGTGAAAGATATAGTCACCGTTTTATTAGTTACATTATATAAAAATATTTGACTGAAATATCATGCATTCTTAACATTAATTTCTTCGTACATATTGAATATTAATAAGAATATTTAGGTACCTATGTTTTTTAATTCTTCATATCGTGGCGTGGTTTAGAAACTTCTTTTTATAATTTCAAAACCTATTCCGAATTATCTTTAATCAAAAACAGCATATTATACATTATATGTATAAAATTTCAAGGAAATTATAAATAATTTTATGAGGACATTAGATATAAGTAATATTTTCAAAATGTACGAAATTAGGTTGTATACTTACAATCTTAATTCATAAAAGAGAGAAATATGATTAGCAAATGATAACCAAAGTTTAATGCGGTTAAATAACTATAAAATTGATCTATATGTTTTTGAAATGTAGCTTATATTAATTAAAAACGCATTTCTTTGTCAAATCAATTTTAAAAATAGGTTGTTTATAAATTTATTTTCTTTCAATTAAATTTACGAGAGTAGTACCGTCATACGAAAATTATCACTTTGTAATATGATAATTGGAAGTTTTTTTTAAAATTATAATCGTATAAAAGCAAAACGTATAATTTAATCGACTGAATAGCACAAAAACTGCACAAGTTATAAAATGATTAAAAACATAATGCTGAATGCATAAATAAGTTTCTAAATAAAATTACTTTTTAGCGTATTATGCATTCTAAACTTCGGTTGAACGGAATGGTGTGACTATTAGATTTATATATATGAAACTTAAAAAGATGAAGACTATATATTAAACAATGAAATTCATTAAAAATACTTCACATTTTTTGAAATATATTTGTAACAAACGTTCAACTTTTTTATGTATTTATACTTTAAAAAATTAATTTTTTCAGACAAATGTATTTTTGTGTTAAATCAATATTGTATTACACCGATCACATGATAAATGTGGATCTGTGTGTTAAAATAGATTGACGAATATAGAAAATATGGAATAATATTATTATATAAAAGTTTACATATGATCGGAGAATTACGAGATATAAATTTTTTATTTCAAATACTTTCATTTTAATTTGTGTAACATTTCTTTTAGTTGTATATTCGATTTTATATTGAATGCACAGTGATGTAACTATTTCAGTATCTGTATAATTTTACAACGATTTAAAAAATTGTATTATGCAAACTGTGCCTACTGAAATTACATATATTTTTGTAAGTAATTGTTATTATAATTCCAGCATCAGGCTTTCCAATACATAAGCAATAGTTTAATATCAATGTTATAGAGTTATCTATGTATAGCAATGCCTATTTTCTGTGTTGAAATAAGAACGTGACATTGTTTAATTCTGTAGCTGTTTATGTTCGTTTATGCTTTTTATACCGAGCAAATGATATTGCTTTGCGAATCGGCAAATCGCAATTACTACGTAATTTGTTTTTACATTGTATAGAATTTTAGTCGAAAACTTATGACATCTGTGTGTCTTTTGTTATACAAATATTTTTAGTAATAATAACAAAGAGAACAAAAATTATAAGGCCGCTTTTAAATACTAAAGATTTTCAATAAAAGTCATTTTGTTTATGTTTACACGAAGCTAATTTTCTTAAATTCTATAATTACATATTATTTATTTAACCCAAAAGACGTAGTCTCAACAATTTATTTTTCTTTAGATATACAGTTTATATTTAAGAATATTAAGAAAGCAAAATTTTATCGTTAAAAAAGAATGTATATTTTCGATTTTCAACAATCTCTTTTCTTACATATTCATATTAAAAAAATAAAGATAGTGTTACTTATTTTTCTTACATAGTAACATATGTTGGAGCTGTTAATACACCACAGTTATTTTTTTCCTGAGACATAAGAATGTAACCATCGTTGCCCCAGTAATTTGACCATGAATTTTTGACCAACCAATAATCCTTTCCATTTAAGCTGCCATAACCTACAGCTAAAACTGCATGATCCAGACTCTCTTCCGTATTACCTATGAACGAGATGTTATTTATTTTTAGAAAAACAGGTGTCTGTTCAGAAAATGTTGCATTTACTTACCACAAGACTCATCGTAATATACGCCATGGGAGTAGAATGAAAATGTTTTATGGGATGCGTCAATTGCGACTGAAATTGGACCATGCTTAGCAATGGCAACTTTTAGAGCATTAGCATCGCCCGATGTAACATTTACATAGCCAGTAATTTTGGCTGTCACTGTAGCATTATTTATGTGACAGTAACCGTCCTAAACAAAAAAATAATTGAAAGCAATTTTTAAAATTAATTTTTAATTTACTAATAAATATGGTATTCCACTGAAACGATTAAAAAATTAATTTTTATCACGCATATACTCATATGAATATTGTCTATGAAATATTTGCAATTTAATAATTTACTCACTTGACCAAGGTAACCACCATAATCATCTTCAGTAGGCAAACCTCCATGCTTCATAATCCATTGATATGATCTGAAATCTTCACCACCATCACAACCATTATTTCCATAGCCCCATGAACAATCAATAAGCGCCTATAATTATGAAAAATCATAATAAAGTATTCTGTTACTTATAATATTCGTTTAGTTGTATTTAAACTATTTTACCTGTTGAGACAAACGCACTAATTTACCGTACTTCATATAGTATGCGCCTTCAACAGCACCAGTTGTACCAAAACTCCAGCAAGATCCACAAACAGATTGATCTATTTAATTAAGAAAATTCTTTGTTAGTTTGGAATATTGAAAAATTTTTATTGAAATGTTTTTTATAATTAAAAAAGAAAGATACACGCCTTTAACAGGAGTAACAGCACCATAGAGCCTCCAATCTAAACTATCTGGGACTTCGGTTACTTCTTTTTCAGCATTGTGTGGGAAAGGTTGTCCTCCATTGTAATGTGCAGTGTATTGTTTGCCGCGTAAAGCTTTTAATTCTAACTCAGTACGATCTACCAAATGATTAACGCTCAATTGGTAGCCTTTATTAGCTCGGTTGGTCGAATGAATAAATCTATAAGAAATTTATATCAGTTATTGATTATGAACATTCATATTAGTTGTGTACATTGTACAAATATACGATATACCTTAAATTTTGCCTAAATACTTCTTTACGCATCAATTGATCTACATGATTTACATATTCCTTGTTATGAGTTTTTTTGAAATCTTCAAATGCTTCATTTACATGAGTGTCATAATTGTGAACAAACTCACGCATAGGATTAAATGTGTATACATGTTTGTCTCCAGGTCCGGGAAAACCAACACATGTCATATCTATTTATGATACACGTTTTATAGTTGAAATATATTCAAATAAAATTTATGTTAATAAATGAAAAGAATTCTAATTACTTGTTGTAACTTCAAACACTTCTGAACTAGGTTTTTCAGAAGAGTACCAGTCATAATCCAGATAGTAATGATCATAGTGAGAGCCCAAAAGACTATTGAATCCTTTCATCTCATACCTTACAGGAATTGGTTCTTTTAAACCAGGTACACGTGGAGATTTCTATAATTAATTTTAGAATAATTTGATATAATGATGTTTATTAAACTGACAAAAATTATGTAGAGTCACAATTACCTTATATCTTATCCAAAAAGTATATTTGTTTAATTTTCCATCAATCTCCTGTTCCAATCTCCATTTTTCACATAATAAACCATTAATCACTTCTTCTCCAATACACTAGATAAAATTTAACTTTATATTAGTAATTAAATTTAAATCGTTGGGGAAAAATGGGAAAATATTATTTTACCTCCATTTCAGTTGTGTCTGGAATAATAGCTTGAGGTTGAACCTTAATTTCTTTAGTACCATTTACTTCAAGACATGTTTCTTCATTCAGGACAGATTCTGTAGTTATTGGGGCAATTTTTATGCTTTTTCCATATGATCCTTTGTGTGATAATTGGAAAGTCTTGACCATTCCTAGTTACATCAAATTTAATTTATTTTTTTTTTAAAGAAAAAATTTTTGTATTAATTTTCAGATTTATATTAATTTATACTTAAATTACCTCCATAGTAATCGATTCTACTAGATCCACTTTTGCCATCATACCATGCATAGAATGGTTCTCGGATTTCAGCATATGGAATATATAAAGTTCCTTTTAATGTGTAAGTATTGCTAAATGTTGGAGACTTCACAGCCTCGATGCAAGAGATACCTAATAAAAATCAAAATCAATGTACTTCTATAATAAAAACTAAATGGAAAAATATTAACAATCATTATCTTACCTATCGCTATCAATGTAAAAACGATTGTAAAAGTACCCATTTTTGTACTTCTGTAAGATGAACAATGATAATATCGTTAGATTAGATATATTTCTAATTGACATTACAGATAACATTATGGCTCAAAGTAAATATGAGATACTATCAATTAATAGATTAATTAATTTATCAGTTGATTAAATTAATTATATTATAAATCACAATGACTTAATTACAAGAGTTATAAGATATTGTTATCTATTAAAATTATCAAATTTATCAAGCACTTCCTGATTCTTATAGAACAATTTCAGTAAATATACTTTATAATTCAAAATATAAGAAAAATAATTACAAACGATAGTGAGCATAAAAAAGCTATCTATAATAATTTAAATTACAATATAATATTGCAAAACTGTATTTTTATAAATATTTAATATTTAAATTCAAAGTTTATCAATAAAACAATATGTAATTTTAAATATTTGTAAATTTATTATTGAATAAAATTGAAGAATTAAGTATTAATTAAAAAATGAATAAAACGAAAAAAGTGACTTAACTAGTAGACTGCGGATTTTTATGCATTTATAGAAAATTTAAGTCTGCAATACACATGATATACAAAAATGTACAAAATATCCAAAGTAGAGTATTTGTCATAATATATAATAATTTCTACTGCAGTACTATTTAGAAAAATGTGAATTTGCATAAAGATGCGCGGTCTATTACGTCGAAAGAAGGTCTAACGAATTGCATTATACTTACAATGTGCAGTAGTTCACAATAGATCTTCCGAATATTTCAGATCAATCAAAATAGTGAACAGTAACAAGAGCTTAATAGCAAAATTTTTTGTAAACTGCTTTTCATAATATGTACTAACATTCACTGCAAAATTGTTGCACGTAAATACGAACACTACCCGTGACCCTCCAACTTATATAGAAGACGATCATGAACTGATAGGGACGTTACAAGCCACCGTTACCACTACTACCACCACCACCACTGAAATGGGATATGGTGTGATATTTTCTAATTTGTCGGGATGTGTATTTTTGTAAATACATTTATGAATTGTTCAAGAAATATGCGACTTATACAGTACCGCTTTACTTAAACGAAGACTAAATTAATAACTATTTTAACGTATCTCATAGAAATATTAGTGTTTATAAGTAAGAGAATGTTTTATCCTATAGATCATTTAAGAATGTATTAATACTGCGTCCTCAGCAAGTAATAACTTGCAATGTTTGCAATACTGATTGCAATATGCGCAATTTCTTGATCTGATATTTTTATAATGTGAATAAATTTTTAATTTCCTTTTACGATGGTGTATAAGAAATTTTAAAAGTTTATTCTAACAAATAAACTTTGAAATATTGTTATACTTCATGTATAGTTAAGATTCTATAAAATTGTATTTCAAACACTTAGATCAGTAATGATCTAGCAATTACTTTCAGCTTATTATACTTTGACTTTTATCATTCTTACTTACTCATATCATATAGGACTGTTAAATAATGTAACATTTTTTATTAAATGATATCTATATACATATGTTAATAATTATTCAAGTAGCTTAAATTGCGGAGCGATTATGATTTGTATTAATATCTAAATTAATAGATTGTAATCAAAGCTAGTAAGAATAATTAATGATCATATTTGTCGATACGAAAGTAATTTATTAAATACGATAAGGCGAGTAATCAAATTTTAATCTTGATTTTGATCTTTTTATGCAGAGCAAAAAGGAAATATGAAATGCTGTAAAAAATATTTTGGGGGAAACGATGATATAAAAAAATAGTTACACCATGAAATTGCAACATTTGCGTTTATTATCCTGTTTAAATTACCTCTAGAATGAGTCAGTTTTACAGCCCGAGAATTACCGCTAGGAACTTGAAAAAAACGTAATTATGTAACAGGAAATAAGGCCACAATATGTCTTAAGCATTTTCTTAATAACCATTGAATAGGTATTGAATATAAAATTAAATAATTAAATAATTAAATCATTTTTAAATTTGTAAAGCTTTTTAGTACTAATAAGATAACAATGTATCATGTAAAAAAAATAAAACAAACAGAAAATTGTTTTTATGTATTCGAAATTATTAAAAAATATGAAAATTATTCACATAGGAATTTGGATCGATTTGCATAATTATAATATTTTCAACAATTTTTATGAACTATAATTTTTTTAGAACATGCAATTTAGTATTTGCGCAGAATGCATGTATTTCAATCGTTTTTGTAATAAGATATTTTTATGATTTAGAAGAATAAGATAAATCGTGCTATTAATATTGGAATATAATATTACCAAAAGCAGATGTTTGTATTAAAATCTCCTAAACAATAGTAACAACTGGCAATTGTTACTATTTTTATTTTTCAGAATATAGATATTATCGAAAGACAGAGGGAATATGATACTTATACATAGTTTGAAAGAACTTTAAAGTGTCTCCAAGCGAATCGATATAATCAGTATAATGTATTTCGTTACTATTAATTGTCTGTAGAACAAGGATGTTATGATCGCGGCGATAAAAGATTGGAAAATGAATAATTCTACAAATGAACAATTTATTGAAACGATATCGAAAAGCGCTACAAGATAAGGCTATTTGAGTTACATGCGTATACACCACACTTGAAGAGAGGAAGAGCAACGCTCATTCCTGAATTAAACAGCATATAGATGGGAAACTCGCTAGCTGCCATAACGCAGTCACACTTGCACGTATCGCTCACATTGGACACTCAAATGCAAAATGCTTAAATCATCGATAGAAATCAACTCTCTCGTAAAGAGTCGTATTTGTAATATTTTACGAAACAAGATGTTTAAAACCTTTTATTATATTAACTGTTTGAGTCCGATCGCGCTGTTTAGATTTTGTGTCGAGAAGTCCCAGTACATTTAAACGCTACGGACGACTGACGGTATTTTGTATTTCACTATAATCTTCTCAATAATTTTTGTTCAAAAAACTTGAAATATTTATAAACTAATAGTACGCATATATAATAATATAGATGTATTTGATAAAGTAAAAAATATGACGAGCGCTATTGCGCCGCTTGTTTCTCTTCGTAATCGATTAAGACAAGCGCTATCGCACTGTTTGGGATTTTTCGACCTTGTTTTTTCAATGATCTCTGGGACTCAAACGGTTAAAAAAAATATAATTTATATAGTTGATTAGATTTAAAATAGAAAAGATAGTGGCAGAAATATCTTTTTTTAAATACATGTTAAAAAATATAATTGTTGTAATGTGTTATAATTCCTCATACTAATCTATTTAGAAAAGATGTATCACACGAAGATGGAACATTAATTTTACTAAAGTAATTTATATCAGAATTCAAGCTGTAACTATATTATTACATCTTTGTATTTGACACACCGGATTATTATTTTCTACTTCAATGTAAAAAGTAATTCCTGTCGAAGTTGCTGTCATTTGATGAAGGTTAATTACTTGAGTTTCTGGTATTTTAGTATAAGTTATGTTTAAAGCATATTTACCTGTTTCCGATATTCTTCTTCGATGTCTAATCTCGTTGATGTTGCAAATTATTTGAACTATGTTTGGTCATTGTTCTTACGATTTTAGTCAGATTTCGTAACAAGATAAAGAAAGCAGACTTACAATATCGTTGTATCCAAATAAATTAAAAATATGTTTGCTTTTTTTGCACCGATTACTTAATCACTATACTTGATTTTTTAGAAAGAAATAAAAATATAGCATTGCAAAATTTGCTGTTGTTAATTATCACAAACTTTGCAGTTCTTTACTCTTATATTCTTTTCCTTTGATTAAAGCTTTTACTATCAAAAACTACTTTGCTTTTAAAACTAAAAATAAATAAAATTTTTGTTATAACGATATTAAATAATATTTATGCTATAAATCAAATAAATTATTTTTGGAAGGAATATCTTCAAATTAATTTCTGGTAACTCACTTTTCTTTTATTGAAAAACGTTGCCATTTACGATTGATTGTTGAATCTAAAGAGTTTCTCAAATTTTTATATTTCAAATTACTGTTAACGTACACAAGAGTTATTAATCTTTAGTTGTTTTGACTGACGGTGAAGGATTGCGAATATTATATTATTTCAGGATGAAAGATGTTATATCTGACTTCTAGACTGTTCTGTTCACTAACAAATTTGAAAATAAGTACAACGGAATTTGTGGCTAACGATACTATTAGTTATTATTACACTAAAGAAGATTCTATTTTACAATGTAAATCAGGATTTAATTAATCTCTGATTAAAAATCTCAATTTTTTATATAAAAGATACAAGAATTTTTATAATTAATTTTGAATAATTCAATAATAATTTTTTTAGGATTAAATTTGATCGAGGCTATAATATTCGACTCATTAAAAGAACAAAAAAAAGAAAAAACAAAATGAATAAGATTAGAATTAAAATCAAGTTTTTAAATAAAATGCTGAGCGTGCATGACAAAAAGGGGCTAATAACAAAAACAAGTGATGTTCTCAACAATTTGTAGCGCAAGTGATATCATTTAATGCCAAGCAATCAAATAACATTGACATCAGATAATTGAAGGCATGGCAAAAAATTATTTTAACAACTATATTCGTTCGTGTCCTCGAATTTCGTGTTCGCAAAAGACGCTGTGAAAAGCTTTTAGACATAAACTTTTGCATTCTTTCCATGTTTTTCAACACAAATCAATTTCATACGGTACAAAGTATACTCTAGCTCGGAATTCATACGCTCAAAATTTCATTTAATAAGAAGACTCATTTACATCAATTTTTCCAATACTGAATCCCTACGAGAACATATTTTTCTACAAAAGAAAGAAAAGGGAAAAATTCTTGTTTATCTAAAAACTTTACAAGCGGTCTCACTTGTTTTTTGTCTTCCTTCAAGTTTCGCAGCACGCTTTTATTTTACATTTATTATCAATCAACATTGAAAAGAATCGATTTCGCGATTGTGCTCTTTCTTCTTCTTCTTCTTCTCTTCCTTCCTCCTTTCTTCTTTTACCCCTGCTATATGTTCGTTCGTCGGAATTTGCTTTCTTTTCTCTAACGATATCCTTTATTGTCGCTATTTTAGCAAAAAGAAAGAAAACAAAGAAGTAACGTTGACATTGCTCGACAGACGTAATCGATATATAATTTCGTTAGGAAACACTGTGCTTCCGTCTACGCTATTTCGTTTTACAAAATAAATAATGCTTAATTCGTAAGATCAGTATTTCTACGTGTGTAGTAACTAGAAAAATAGTTCTGTTTCCAGACGATCCGCGGATCTTCTGATTTTTCCTTGTCTCCCGGTAAAATAATATCCGAGTGTTATTTTGGAATTTCGATGAAATGCGCGCGAGAACTTGAAAAAATCAACTATTATCAGATTATTTTTCGTAGTAGTAGTAATAATAATAATAATAATAATAATAGTAATAATAATAATAATGACAATGATAATAATCGTTTGTCGTACAAATGATAGAAACGTTCTTCTACACGCTAATACTCGTATGTATGTATGTATATATATATGTGTGGTTGTGTGTGTGTGTGTGTATATATGCAGATTCTTGTATGTATATGTACATATATATATATTTATATATAACATTTTAATGACGATCAACAAAATTTACCAGTGAACCTTTACGCAGAACAGCTGAAAATCCTTCTTTAAACGGAGGCAGAGAAAATTCGTACTCATTGGTCGTACACAGTGCAATAAATACAAATTTCCGAACGTTATTTTCTTTCTCTCCTCTTTGTTTTTTTCTTTTAAATATAATATACAACAAGATAACAGTATTTAGACAGGTCGTCGAACCGAAGAAGTTGCATTCAGTGCATGTTGGGTGCAACCAATGTAAAAACGCAAGTAGTTTTATTACATTCGACAAACGAAAATAATAATATAATATAATATAATATAATAATAATAATAATAATAATAATAATAACGAAACTACATGTAACACAGTGAATTTGAAAAGCGCACGGTATTTCAGGTGAGATCGAGATAAATAGTGCACGTTTGATCGCGTGACATCGTGAAAAAGAGAAAAAAAGAAAAGAAATATATATATATATATACTGTTGAAAACGAAAACGAATTGAAAAATTCGATCGATCAAAATTGGGGAACTAAAGCAGAAAAGAATAAAATAAAATAAAGCAAATATAGCAAAATAAATAAAAACTGGCAGAATACGATATAAATGGCTAGTAAATAAAGTATCCTCTTTGTAATTCCTTATTACTTTTGCAAGAGAAAAACCTTGAAAATAAATTCATTTTTTCTTTTCTTTTCTTTTTTTTTTTTTTGTAAATCAATATTTTATAAATCAAACGGAGGCGTTAAAGAGTCTTCCTCCTGAAAACGATACCAAGGAATGTTGAATATTTCTGAGATTGCTTTGCTTCTCCTTCCTTCCCCTTTCTTTTTACACTTCTTTTTTTTCTGTTATTTTTATTAAGTAACTAATCATAGGAGCCAGACGAGAAAAACGTCGATTTCTGAAATTCTCTAGTCAAACATATATAAAAGTGACGCAATGACGTGATACAGGTAGGATCGTCAGTAATGCACACATCGAGATGTTCGAAGAAAAATAAAGTTAAATAATTTTTAAACCCTCGATACTTAAAAATACTTGCTTAATATTTTAACGTTATTCTTTTCCAAATATACTCGCGTATGTGCATTCGTATGCCTCTAACAATGCTGCATTCAGCAATCTTCCATCATATATGGACTTATTTTCACTTCTGATCCTCCTCTGACAACCACAGAATACGCGTTCCTCGTAAGTAAGCAAGGAAAAAGCGCAAGTTTACATAACAATCGTATAAGAAGTAAAAAAGAAAGATAGAAAGCTGTGCGAGAAATGAGAGGAGTCATCGCGAAAGCATAACGAGAAAGCGTAACAGAATCAATGAAAAAGTAGACAACATGCAAGAAATATGTAGTCACGCTCAAAACTCTCGTTGTTTTCTTATCCCATGATTTTCGTTAAATCGAAACGTATATTTCTCTCGTGTATTCTCGATGCACTTGTTGAAATCTACATGTATGTTTTTTTATTATTTTCTTATCTTTTTTGCGTTTTTTTATTTGATATATTTAGACTTTCACGGTTATGAATGAAATATACCGCGTTACTAGCGCTTTAATCGTTTACAAATTAAACGCAGGAGACGGTGGTTGGTTGTTTCTCACATTTCGCATGATCGCTTCTTTTTCATACAACATATATCTATTTATATATATATATATGTATATCGAAGGATATCTCATAGAAATTTCCACGTTCAAATTCTACGATTTGTATGTGTATTTCTCTCTTTCTGTGTGAATCTACACGCACGCAACTAAGGAAGAAGAAAACAAAATAAAAAAAAGAAAAAGGAAAAGAAAGAAGAAAAAAACGAAGAAATAGAGATATATCACAGTATCGTACGCAAAGCTTGTATGAAATCGCAGATAGAACAGCATAAAGGCCAAATGGCGACACTATACGCGTTTTTCTCGTTATCTTTTTTTTTTCTCTCGGTGTGAATAATTATTTGGGAGGACATTATTTCTTTTTTCGCTCTCATGTGTAGAAGCATATTGAAATACACACTATTTCTCATTTTCTCTTTCCCTCGCACATCTGCACTTTTTCTCTTTTGCATTCTCCCTTTTTATCACTCTCTTTCTCGCGCTCGCTCTCACTTCTACTGCATATTTTCTTCGTTTACACTCCATGGCAAATGACTCTTTACATCCATGGTCCATGATAGCTTTGCATGAATTTGAAGTTCTCAGTATCGTTAATAACAAAATAGTAAGCAACGACCGCTGTATTTACGCATCCTGAGAATAAATCGGGGTTTTCTTTTTCTCTTTTCAATTCCACTTTTTCGACTGATTCTTTCTCTTAACATGACACAAGACACGCGTCTTTGACAATTTTTCTCTGTTACATTCGCAAAATGAATTCCATTTCCGTTTCTTTCGTTACTCTCTTCGTTCTCAGTCCGTTTTACTTTCATCGTGCCAGATTTAAACGATTTATCATCTGAATACGTATCATCGGCGAAATACAGTATGCAAGTAATATTCGAAAATATTTCACTGATTTTTTTATCGTTTTTTTTTGTATTTTGGCTTTTCAGCTGACAAGAGAAAAGAAAACAACAGTTACCTGATTATTTATGCGTATATCACAATGCTTATCTATGCTCTAAATAGATTAATCGCTAAGCAAACGGCAGATAATACAATACGGCGTTAATGTAAAAAAGGAAAATTATATATATATAATTATATTGAATATATATAATTATATATGTAGATATATATATATGTCATTTTATATATATACATATATAAACATCACTATAGAACATGTTCTGTTATAGAACGTGTGTTGTATTCAAATATCAATTTTTAATTTTCTCACTGAGTACTTCTTAATTGACATCTTGCCAATTCCACGACGCGAAAAAGAAAGACATAAAAAAATAAAGGAACTCGAATATTACTTTATACTGTGTTTTTATACCCACAAAAGGGAAATCCTTTGGCAACATACTTAAACGTTGGCAACAACATCCTCTCTCCAGTGCTGTTCTTTTTTTTCCTTTTGTTTCGTTTCAGCTGGACAGCACAGCCTTTACCATACACGCAAAATATTCTCTGTTTATTCCTTTTATACACGCATAAGCACTCGCAAATAGCTTCTGTGATTCTCCGTATAATCGTTATCGATAATCAGCAAGTACAATTAATAGTTAATCGAATAGCTTCATCGTAATCATTAGCAGTAATTAATAATAGTTATTAATATACGTATATACAGTACAGAAAAACTGCTTTACACTGAATAACAAATTGTACAGTGATACAAGGCTAACATTGAGATCTCTTCTTTTCTTTTCTCTTTCACGCTGTCTCTTTCTCTCTCTCTCTCTCTCTCTTACTCTCGATCAATTATTAACCTTTATCTGCTTCTTCTTTTTATTTGTTTGAACACTATCAACATGCCCGCGCTGATAATGAAGTTTCATCTCGAGCAGATGTAACCCACGAATACATAAACATTTCTGGAAACTTTCTGTAACCGGAAGCGCATTTGAAAGTTCAACATTCGTGTCGAAGGAAATCGATTACCTTGAAATTATAATATCTCCAAAAATGTTTCGATTATTCGTCGTGATCGTAATGTAATCACGTTACTTCTGGATACACACAATTGTTTCGGCCTATGAGAACAGCTCTAGCAGAATTACATAGACGGTACTGTCGAAACTTGGCGAAGCAACCAAACTTACAAATAAAATCATTGGAAAATCCTTTTCACATGCACAGTTTCACAAGAATAAATTGGTACACATGCGTTTATACGAACATAACAATTCAAGACGGGAAATAACATCAACTATTTCTGTGTTTTTTTTGTTATTTTTTTTTCTTTTTTTCCATTCGTTAAATTAATTTTACATCTTAGCGACGTTTCAACAGTTTCAACCGAATCTATATCACTGATATAATATAGGCTGAGAACGAGATGTGCAAGAGTAATGCGCTTGATTTTGGAACTTCATTACGTCCAATTAGGATTTTGTGCCCTTTTCGCAGACGAAACACGTACATATTTGCGTTACAGCACAGGCTATTAGTTCATGGATAAATGCAATTAGCCTGTTATTGAACGAAATAAGCAAGCTTTTTTTCCTTTTCATTAATGTTTAAAACGCTTAAATAAGTGAAAACAGAAGAATCATACACTTTACCTGTTTCGTCGATCACTATTAATTTGGTACTTATAAATTCAACAAAGAATATAATATGATACATTATCACCTTGCACGTTGATATTTATACATCTTCGTCTATCTTTTTCTTTTTTGTCATTCGTTATAACACAATTAGTTAAACCGTGTATTCGGTACATAATATCGTTTCGCGGCATAGCTGCCATTCTGCAACGCATACACAATTTATGGTCCTATTTCTCTTCAAGTACTTCTGTGCTAATCTCTGTGAAGCTTAACAGTCTTGGCCATTTGAACCGGTCAATGGCACAGGCTGATACTGCACTCTACTAACTTTAAGGCGATGAAGCACCTGACTTTTGAGTAGTTTCTTGCACGCCGGATAGAAATACCCCGAAGAAACATCATCCACTTAAAGTAAGGATAAAACTATTACCACCTAATCATAATGTGATGTAATGTAATAGGTCTTTCGATTAAAAATGAATTGGTCATAGTACAGTTGAATATAATGATTTATCTAGGCATTCAGGAGTGACTGATCCGTTGCACTAGAAATTTTTCTGCATTTATGAGAGAGAAAAAAATGAGATATATCGATTTTTATACTGTAAAATGATTGATGATGACGATAAAATGATTCGACTAAAATTCATTGTGAAACTAAATCATAATGCTTTATCGTATGCTTTAGTATTGGTATATTATACTATCAAAAAAGAAAGTATATCAAGCATATCAATGATAACACCCATTGAATGATGTTTTCTTTGAAGTATATTCCAACATGCATTAGTGGTTTTTATATATGTTAAATACTTTTAACTTATTACTCATTCTTGAAAACTGTACCTCCAGCTGTACTGTACTGTTATATTGCGGAACAAAATGAAAAATTTTAACAGAGCTTATATTTTCTGTTTCCATGCGTAATTTTGAGGGTAAAAAAAAAGACAACAACAAAAATCGCCAATTTTAATTTGTTAATTACGATTAATTTCTGATTAATGATAATGTTAATAATAATAATAATTAATAATAATAATAATAATCTATACAGACAAACACGCTTCCATTCTTTTATATGAAACTTATCTGCAATAATTGATTAGCTTTATCTTTATCTTCGAAAATGATAAGTTTCCACACAATTTAATAATTGGTTATATTTTTGGCTCTAAATACGCGACACTTGCATTCGAATTGAAAATTATGTTTCGTTATATTGATTATCTATCAAAAAGTAAAATATGTTGGAGGTAGGCTTCCTACATAACGAATAGAATCGTTGTGAAAGGAATCGTATTAAGTCCATTTTTCCCGTTTATCTCTTTTTTTTTTTTTTTTTTGATTAACTACTCATATAAGCTTTTTTTTCTTACTGTAGATCGATAACAACCACAAAGTGTATTAATTACTTTCTTTTTTATCATATTCAGAGGATAACATAATACGATGAAAAATTTTAAAAGAATTCAAAATACAAGTATTCAAAACTAAATTGGACATTAGCTAGTAGAATATTTACATGCACTATACGCATTCACACCGTCATACTTTATGATCACAAGCAAGTAGTTTATTATAATTATTATTACCAATAATTAATAGTTAATTATTCATTAAATAAGCAAGTTTGTGTAAAAATTTAGCGTTTTTTGTTTTGTTTTTTTTTCATTTCGACACATTCGCACTCTTCTCACTGTCTCTATCCAATTCAGGACCTTGAGCACAGCATTGCAAAAAAAATCAGTTTTCATTGTTCTCTCTCTCTCTTTTCCTTCTTTCAAATTTCTTAAACTATTATCTATTGCGGCTGTAAAAGTAACCACTCCATAAACTTGTAAGTCAATCACACTACTTTTTTTTAAATATTTTACACGTGTTCAAAAACACACATTCACCATTTTTCATTACACTTCACACATCTTTATAGCTTTCTTTACTTTTCTTTAAAGGTTCGTCTTAAATAAAGTACATGTAATCTAGCAACCATTATTTTTACGTTTAACCTTCCTTGAAAACGTTTTCCTTGAAGACTCACTGATGGTTGCAGTAATTCTTGTTTTCAAGGTGTTGTTTCAAGATCATCTCTGCTCGTAATTACATCAAATAATTATTAGTAGTTTAGCAATATTTCCGACGGATGATCTCAATTTGGTATAATTAACATAACAGGCTGCTTTCAACTATTTTTAAACTTTATTACAATGGTCTACGATGTATTTTTTATTTCTTAAAGGCATCAGCATAAACCACCATGTCACAGCACATACAGTTTTTGAATAAACTTGCTTCATCATAATCTTGTTTCAGTTAATTTTTAAACTCCTTAAATAGTTTTTATATTTTTGTTTCAAAGTTGTAACACTTTCGTAGCTGATCCGAAAGGCATTTTACTTTGTGTCGTTTTTTCCCCTCAAAAATTATGAGGCATTTTAAGACTACATGAATTTTCACATTTTACAAGAAAATTGTTTATGTTTCGAAAGAGCGAAATATGTTTTATGCATCACGAACTTATAATTTTCAGTCAAATATTGTATCAGATGTCAATACTGAAACTTAAATATTGTGTTATAACCTTTTCAAAGGTATTTTGCAACTCATTAATGTATGTACAATCAGAACATACACAATTTATAAGTCTTGTTTTTTTCCAGTGATTGATTATTATGTACATTAGTTTTAGAGGCACACCTTGCGCCAGTTGGCTTTACAGAATTATCACTGATGATTTGACTCAAAAATTAGTATAACGTTTATTGGCGATCGAAACTGATAGTTTCTGCGACTTGTTTGATACAGGTTCGATCAATTTGCTTGTATTTAGATATATATTTGGTCTTGCATAGTTAGCAGACTCCTCTGGCTGTTTACAGTTTTATAACGGATAACTTGCAATAGAGGTAATTTTGCAGTACAAAAACATTATTGTTGTTATTTACCCCATATTTCTTAGTGCCCATTTCACTGACCACTGTAGAACTGTATACGACCGCTTGCAGTTACTGGCATTTCCCTCATAACAGCGTCCCATGCTATATTAATGAAGAGAAACAAATGAAAGAATTACGAACTTTTAGATACCATACTGAATGCTAAATAGCGCGTGTATCTCCAATTTCATGTCAAAAAATGCTATTAACTGCAGTAAATCAACTATATAAATATTTCAAACATAATTACATTGATCGGCATTTCCGCAAATTCTTACGATTGCCTTCAGCACTCAAGCAATTAACAATAGTTCAAAGATTAATTTATAGAATTCAATATCTTTTTTTAAAATATTACCGATACCGCATTATTTGATCTTTTATTAAAAAATTGGAGGCAATGTAAAGTCATAAAAGAAAAATATACTTACCTAAGCCAACGAACGAGACGATTTTATCATGATTGTACGTTTGTATATTAACATCTTCTTCAGGAGCTACATAGAGCATAGAAAAATCTTCTTTTGGTTGATGGTGATACTTTTCCATTATTCCTGGTGGAGGTGTGGGTGGTGGTGGCAAACACGTAGGAGGAGGGAATCTTGGAGGATAACCCATGCACGGTAATCGCTGTACCATCACTGGATGCAGAGGTTGTTGAGTTACATGCGTATTTGGAGGTTGCATGAAATTAGGCGTAAATTTATCACATCTCATGTGTTTGTCAAATATTGGAGGATATCTATCGAAATTAGAAGGTGGTTTGTTTATGAGTGGTGGAGCAGAAGGAAATACAGAACTAACGCTTGAAGTCTCTTCGGTTGTCGAATCTTCCGACAATAAAAGTTGTTCGTTAATTTCAAATCCAAACCTAAGTTCCGTAGGTAACTCACTGTTCTTGGTAATATCTGCTGCAGTTTCATCTAGTAATATAACTGCAGGTCTTGAAGTTTTTTGTTTATTGGATGTTTGTAATTCTGCTTTCTGTGTTTGATCTTTATCCGAAGTGGAACTTTGTTGTTTCGTTTTCTTACATTCGGAATCTTCTTGTTGTTCTTGTTTCGAACTTACAGAGTATACATTTCCCGATTTAATCGTTTCATGCTTCTGTTCTTTTAAGATCTTTGTTGATTTTTCGGTTTTTGTCAACTTGATTGCTTCTGATTCAATATTTTGCAGTTCTTGCATTCCTTTCGGATTATTTGTAGTATTAGCTTTTTGCGATTCAACTTCATCATTTGAAACAATCGCTGGATTATTTTTATTTTCACAGTGCGTATTAGAATTTTCAGTATTTTGTGATTTTTTTGCATTTTCATCATGAAAAGTATATCCAACTTTCTTGAAATGTTGATCTTCATGTGATACTTGATTTTGTATATTTTGATTATTTTGAACGTAACTTCCTCCTCCTCTGCGTGTTCGTGGATTATTACACCTCGCATTTATAACAGTGTCTTTATTATTGACACTGTTGCAGTTAGGATTGTTGTTATCAGAATCGGGATTACAATTGGTTACAGTATTATTAAGTTTTGATGGCACTGCATTCGTTACTGAAGTCTCGTTTGATGTTGTGATATGATTATTACAGTTCACGGCTTTTGGTTCTTGTTGTGTTAAATTTTGACGCATTTTTTCAATATCTTGTACATATTTAATAACCTGGATATTTTTATTAATAGCTTCTTCTTGAGCCTCTGCCTTGTTTCTCTCCGTTGAATTTTTCATTTTCGTCAAAGTCGGTGATGGTGGTTTTTCGAAACTTAGATTCAAAAGATGATTCGAATGGGTGAAGCTATGTTGCCTTGTTTTCCTATCCGAGTGTTGTAATTCATCTAAACTAGGATAATAATCTTGAGGAATCTTGTCTGGTTCTGAAGGTGTTTTGGGTGGCACACTAGGCCACGAAGACGTACTTAACATGTTTGGAACTATTGCAGACATATTTAACACTGAATTGTGAGTCATATTAATAGTTGCCATACGAGCTATGTCCGCGTAACTTGCTTGCGGCGTTCCGCCCGATGAGGTAGCTATTTTTGATAAATTATGTTTGGACGTATTTGATGTAACTGGTAATGAATGGACAGAATCAGAATCGCTACTGTCTGATTTATCACTGCAAATAATAATTACTTTAATTAGCTAAAATGTCTTCAATAGTGTAAGTTATATAAACTATATGAATAAAATACTTGATTTTTTTTATGAATTTATCCTCTTATAGATATCTTTCAAAGTAACATATATGGAAGAAATTAAAAAGGAAGTTGTATTAATTACCTTGGTGGCATACTGCTTGCTGATTTTCTTCGAAGTTCAGGAGAAAGTGGTGTTCTATATTCATTAGAAAATCCTCTGGAATTTTGGAGATAAGATCCTGACGTTGTTAAATTCTGTGCTCTACTGCCACTGGAACTTCTTCTCTGTTTTTTACTTTTCTTCTTTTTCGTAACTACCAGGAATTCTGTTTCATGTTCAGGCTCTGGATTGATTTTTTTATTGGAGTTTCGACGACTAGCATAATCATCTCCGGTATCATTGCAATATATAGACTGACCTTCTTCCGTTCCCCAAGATCGTCTATCGCCACGACTATCGATAGCTGCGTCCCCTGTGCTTCTTTGTTTCGCACGGCGTAATGCAACATTGATCGTGCCTATTCAAGCGATACAAACAAACTTCATGAACTTTTTGCGTTGTTTTATTATTACTTAAATAACAAGCTCTTATAATCAATTACTTACCATGTTGACTTGATATACTACTGGCACCACTAGAACTGACGCTTTTCTCCGTTGTGAGGTCTTCGAGTTTAGTCTTAGATATTTCTTCGAGGGAATTAGACTTCTGTAATTTGGCAGGTAACTGTTCCCTTTTAGTGTCTTTCTCTCTACTTCTTGGCTTTGCACCTGAACTAGTTTTTACTCTTACCGGATTACTTGGTTTTCCTTTTTTACTTTTAGATTCTTTATTTTCAATAAAATTAATTAAACTGTCGATATCTTCATTGCGATGTCCTTCAACATTTTCAGCACTGTATACAATAACATTAGGTTCTTGAGTGTGCTTTCTTCTAGGCTTTTTCCGTTCCCCATTATAGTTTTGTACTGGATTCCCATTTTCATCCAAGGACTTCTTTTCTCCAGATCCGGTAGTATGCGCTGTATACCTCGAGCCTTCTGTGCAAAATTTATATATTTCAATTTGTTATAAATTGAAAGCTTTTATAAATGTCAATACCACAAAAATGTAATATTTAAAAATTATTAATGATATCTAGGTATTTGCAATGTATGATAATTTTATGATAAATAATATTTTATAATTTTGGTATATCACCTACCCATTGTAATATTTTGTGTTTGTAAGGATGCAGACATCATGGAGCACAAACTTGGAATTACTTTACCCTGACTAGCACTAGAACTATTTGCAGTTCCACCAATACCACATTTCACACTATTGAAAGTTTGAAAGGAAAGGGCTCCAGTTACTTCTGTACCATTAACAGATATTTTTGATTTATCTTGTTTCCCACTATGTTCACGGAGAGAGAAATCTATTGTAGTATCCACAGGAGTTTGAGCTATATCGAAAGGAGTGCGCGATATATATTGAGGTCTACGTGGTTCAATAATTTTCATTTCAATTCCTTCATCATCTTCCGTATCTAAGGAGTGAGGTCTCTGAACCCCACTTATAGTAGATCCCACATTCCTTTCACTAATAGTACCCACCTAAAATAATTAATACAAAGATAAATAAATATACATAAATAAAACGCACTAAATATATACAATTATTGTATTAATAATATACGAATTTACCTCAGCATCACCTAAATCAATGACCATGTAATCTGATTTATACTCTGGTGGTGGATTATCTGATTCAAGCATTTCATTTGTCCCGTATTTTCCTTTGTTACCTCTTTTCTCACGCACTTCAACTTCACTTTCGCACAAATCCCTTTTGGTATCCTTTTTATCTTTTTCCTTTTCTTCCTTTTTTGTACTACTATATGATGGTTTATCTAAAGATCTGGATTTTTCTTTGTTAGTCCAATCGTATGCTCCTCTTTCTTCACAGAAACCCTTCTTAAAAAGCAGAAAAGGAAAGTATATATTTAATTAAGTAACAACTCAATGTTGTGTTTACATAATATGTTACATAAAACTCACAGCTATATTGTTTTTTACAAATAATTATTTTAAATAAAATTAATGAAAAAATATAGGAAAATTAATTCATAATCACAAATAATCAATTTAATCCAACAATTTTTATAAGCAGTTTTCAATAAATATATATATACCTTTTTGTCAAATAATAAGTCTAAATTAGCCAATGAAGCAAGACTGTGTGATGCATTAACATTCGAAGGTAACGAACCACCTTCTCTTTGTCTTGCAGATACACTAGATCCTGTATATTTTTTATTCTTTCTTCTATTTCCTCCGTAGGTATGGCTAGATCCAGATGACAAGTAAGCAAAACTACTATCAAACTCTGAAGCAATAGGTTGTGCTAAATTTTGCAATGACCCTCCATGTGTCAACCTTTCAGATACAGAGTCTCTTTTATGCCTCCTACGATTTGTCCCAGGTAAGCAACGTGAATTGGTTATTATCCTACGACCTTCTTCGGTTTCATCTGCTTCTGCTTCTTGAAGTAGTTCCTAAAATGAATATCATTAAATATGAAAATCATTTTATTTCAAGAAATAAAAATATAACTATGCTTACTTTAAAAAGGCTTGATTTTCCTTCACGATCTTTGGGACATTTATAAGTTATAGCTTCATCCAATAGTGCACGTAATTCACCTTCATTTAATGCAGACAAAGTAGCTGGTTCTTCCTAAAAGATGCAATTAAAAGAAAAATGTTAAAGTTAGCTGTATATTATGAGTACATGTAATAATATCATCATTATACTTTGTATATAGAATTTAAATGAAAGATATCCTTGTAAGAAATTCATAAATAATAAATTAAATATAAATATAAGATGCAACAGAACAGATACAAGTAGATACGCAGATTCAAAACATATTTTTCTTGATCAAGAACTATTATATAAGTTAAAATGAATTTTTGAACAGATTTTATAATATAGAAATGACATTAATTTTTTAAAAATAAGTATATAAATTAATAAATTTTGTATCCAATTTAGTTAAAATATACATATTATAAAATATATAATGTTTGGGAACACTTTGTTTGTAACCTATACATGGTCTAGGAACATGTTTGGCAATGTAGATTCAAATATGGAAAGTATGCCAAGAGTTCAATCCAAACTTTAAGCGTAAACCATAAGCGGCAATATATCCAAAGATGTACTAAGAAACTACAGAATATTCTAAATATCTATGACTTGCATAGATTATTTTATTACATTGTGCATTACTGTTATATTATATTATCCACTTTCTGTTGAAACCTAATTTATTACTTTAATTATAACTACGAAATATATAACAATTACGTAGATCAATCTATATTTAACTTAGTGTTTGTAAATAAAAATGTCTATAATTTTATTGTGTTACAATTAATAAATGTTGTATAAAAAAATGCATGTTATTTTACAGTATTTGTATTATTATGTGTTATATTGAACACCATAGTATAAACTAGACCACAAGGCAGATAAGTATAGATAGATTCCAAGAGTGAATTTAAGGTTTCACTTATTGGATTTTATGAAGAAATATACAGACCACATAGAAAAAAGTATATTAGTATAAATGATGTACACTAATGTCACATTTAACAGTACAATCTACACACATCATATACGTACATTACTTTCACTATGTTAATCATATGTATCATAAATCTTATTTCTAATAAACTCTTAAATGTATGGATCATTTATTTATTTATAATCACTAAAACTTTTAATATTTTCGTTAATACATAAGAGCAATACGTTTACTTTTCCTCCTTCCATTTTAAAATGCTTTTAAAATGTTAACCAATCAAAGCATGTAACATTATTATACTAAAATGTACATAACTGTTTATATAACAGGAAAAAAATTATAAATTTATATAATCTTTGATTTGATTTACTTACGAAATACTGCATAAATAATATCATCAGCGAAATATTTTTCACCTGTAGGCTATAAACAAAGTAAAAAATATTGCAAAGAAACGATACATGATGTGTCATTTATTTTTCGTGGTAATTTGACCAACATTACCCTGCGGTAACCTGACTAGCTTCATTCAAAGCAAAATATCTTATCAGAATGGCTGCCCACGTAAAAAAAAAGAAAGGAAAAACTGACTGCAGTCTTTTTTTCTGTATTTGAAACAATACACAGATATCGTCGAAAAGACAAATCGTTTAGTAACAAACTTTCATCAAAAACAAAGAAAGTTAAAAATGATTACGATTCCTCCCAGAATATGCCGTTTTTACAAAGATAACAAAACCTTTGCGAACTTATTGACCGTGAATCGTCATAACACACAATGAAATACTTTGTACGTTTTAGCAGCTAGGTTAATAATAAACTCTTATCATTATTAGCAGAAAAAAAGAGGGTAAAAAAAGGAGAAAATGTTATCATTCGTTTCGCACTGTTGGGTAATATCCCACGAAAAAAAAAGGAAAAAAAGAGAAAGAACAGATACGTGGTTTCGTGTACGAAACAATACAAACCAATCGTCTTTGAAGATTTCAGAAAGCACTGTTAATGAATACTCGTAAGTCCTTGGAAATGCGAAAAGGATAGCCAATAGCGAGTTTACCTTCGGTCGTAAATTAAAATAGGACACACACCAGGAATTGAAGTTTTGGGCTTGTCCAGAGATCGATAGGGGGTCGCGATTAGCTAATTGAGACACGAGATACCGGGGTGACTTACAGACGAAGGAAAAATCTGCTGGGCAGTGCCGGCACGGAATTTATATTTTTAGAGGGCACCTGGGTCGGCTGCAGTCGTCTCTGCTCCGTCGAACTGCAGTCCCAGCAGTATAACCACCGTTACGTAGAGACCTCGCGCATTTGAGTATACGATAAACCGTAGCCGACGATATGCTATCACTGTTCACAAGAAATATTTATCGGCAGTATCAAAAATACAGTACCGATTTTAAATGCTATTGTGACGAGCGGGCGCGGCGCGCTCTTCTCACCATGGCCGCCGCCATTACACTGAGAACACGGCCATTCCAGGATCGTAACAAGCAAGGGCCCTTTCGTACACCTATCCGTTATTCTTTGTAAATCTATATATATACCGTGTACTGTATGCTTAAAAGAGTTGCATGAATTTACATAAAATAATTTATATAAAATTTAAAAAATATATAAAATTTTAAAAAATATAGTATACAAAATTATATTAAATTATATATAGACTGATTTATATAGACAGATTTATATATTTTATGCAGTTTCATATTTTTTTATTAACATAATTGAAAAAATAGAACCTACATAAAAATTTCTTTCTCCCACTAAATGTTATAACAAGTATCTCACTTTAAATATTTTTTATATTTTTGCATATCATGTGCATTTTATACATTTTTGCACCTGCAAATATCCCATAAATGCATGAATATCTGTAGTCTAGTTATATAATAAAATTAAATTTATATAATAATATAAAATTTATACGATAATATACACATATTCCTTTTCCATTATGCAAATACATATGATAAATATACATGAGTAAATATGTAAATATAAATATATATATCTCATTTTATGAACTAAATTGCATAAAAATTAGTGATATGATTTCAATCATATATTATCTTTTTTTATCCATACATGATTTAGTAAAGTCTTTAATGCAACTCTTTTGATGATAAAATAACAAATATGTATGCTTAAAATATAAACAAACTATAAAGTTTAATCATGATATCATCAATAATGTAATTTATGTCGTTCATATTTTAGGAACACATAGTTGTACATAATTATTTATACATAAATAGTCATACTATTATCAATTTGATTATATTTTTCATATTAATATACTATTTTCTTGTCATAAGATATGGAACATATTTTGTAAAACTTATGAATTTTTTATAGTGTTATACCATAATAATTAATTACAGATACTTCGTAAGCAATTATTGATTATAAACTTTTATATAAGTTGTCCATTGATAACTTTTAATTAAAGTAATTATATCAAATATTTAATTAATTTGAATTAAATGTATAAAGGTTAATATGATTTAGAAATTATAAGATTTAATTTAAAAAATCAACTATTATAAATGCTATGTAGTCATTATAATAAGCAATGAATAACTTGCTGGAAGGTTTATATTATTTCTAGTTTGTATATATAAAATAATACTAGAAGTCAAATTTTAAACAAAATATTTTATACTATTTAAATTTAAAATACATTTTTATATATGTATGTGCTACATATTTATTTCTCATACAAATAACTAAAATGATATTATAGTATTACTCATTTCATTAATATGCATCTTGAACAATTTTGGAATCCTTGTATTTTAACTCACCTGTTTACTGTCAGAGGTAATACAAGCCGGTGCACTTGGAGTTGTTGAATCTGAATTAGTGTCAATGTTCGTCGAAACACATTCTGTATTCGTACCCTGGTTACTAACAGTTTCAACACCTACCACTGAATTCTCTATATTATTTCTTTCATTAGAGGTCTCACTATTATTATTTTCAGCAGCTTTGTCAGGTGCTACTGGTTCTTGACGATGTTCTGGCCCTGGGGCCATTTTGATCGAAATTGACAGTGTTGTGTCCACTGCACTCATAGTTTCATCATTTTTCTTTGGTGTTGTTAAGGTCTGAAGACCCGTTTCGTTTGATCACAGACGGCAATTTGAGATTCTCGCATGTCGTATTAGTTAAATTTTTTTCTTGATTTCAGTATTTAGTTTATGAAACTATCACGTCCATGTGAATGAAAGCATTTTACACTATGCCGATGTCACATTAGGTTAAATAATTAATTTAACCATTCCAAATTCAACACTTTTAATTGGATTCAAAAACAATACACGCATAAACAACAATAATTATTTGTGTTCAGATTGTGAGATTCAATTGATGACTTTTCCAATGTGCTCGACTTTACGCGCGTACCACGCGCGCTAGGAAATTGACAAAAATGGCACCGTCCACCATCCAGTGTCGTGACCGTCGATCAATTAGGGAACTGTTGTCTTTCAATTTTTCCTTTATTGCTCTGATATATTTTCAATTAACTCGTATATATTTTCTGTGGATTTACGTTAAATATTGAAAGTATAACTTCCTTCTCGTATTTTAATATCAACGGTTTTATCGTCGTTGAGGTTATTTCAAATCTACTTATCAGTTTCAACTACAGCTGTCGCTTAGTAGAATACGTTATATATGTTCTAACAAAACACGTACTATGTTTGCTGTACGAACTGATAGATAAATATTTATTTTATGTTTAAATCATATATTTATCAAAGAAAGAAATACAAAAGAATGAAAAATTCTTCTTGCACGTTGTTTTAATATTGATATATTCATTTGGAATTACTTGTTTCCTTTCCATAAATAATAAAACATAAAAAATATAAAATTTGCGATATTACCGCCTTTCTCTGATAACAAATAAACTTTCGGTTAGAATTGAAAGTATATTTAAATTACTTAATTCATGCTATAATTATAACAGCAGATGTATATACGTTAGAACGTAAAATATACAATAAAATGAATGGAATGCTTTCTGTGGCACTTATTAGAATTTCACTCGCTGAATAAAAAATAATAATTATTTTTCAATGACATGCCAAATCAGTTCTTGGTGCATTTACAATTGTCTCGAAAGGCGTCAAAGAAAGTCCAATTTTGGAGTTACAAAATGAGGTTGATAATCGTCGTAGTTCGAGGTACTCATAAATTCAAAATGGCCGCTGACGATATTAAAATGCACATTTTTCTTTCAAGTATATGTTGCTTGCAAATCTTTTTTTATGCGAAATGCAATGTTACTGGCAACGTTGTTGCAACCGTGTATGGATGGAAGACGCGAAAATGTATTTGTCCAAAACGACGACACTGTTCCTAGCATCGCTTGTACACATACCAACAAGTATATAGTTTGTACTTGCTATTATTTCGTCGTGCATAAGTCTTGGAAGACACTGAAAAATCACTTTTGAAACATCTCACTGACAACTAAGGAAACGTTGTACAGAGTCACAAGTACCTGATCGAATCATTGAAGCGTATTTCAAAATCGTCGGCGAATTATCGATCGCATAATGTTACTTCTGGCTTATGCACTTTTCCGACGATGGCACTAAAGCGGTACGACAACGATATTTTCTATCGAAAACACTCGATTCTAAAGTAAACCAGAGAATCTCATTAATGAGATTTATTTAAAATACAACATTAATTGTATTCTAGTAAATGGAAAGTAGTCCACTCGAAACTTCATTGCACGATATCCAAAATCCAACCGTACGGTTAATCAGTTTTGCCACTAAAACATTTCACTTGTCTTCACTATCGTTCGATCGATATTATTCTTAGTTAATCACGTTAGGAAAAAAGTGAAGGAAAACTGACGTAAACCTGTACCGACAGTTTTCTCGCGACACAATAAACGATCGCTTTTGCGCAGAGAAACGGCGGACCAGCCGTTTAGCCTCCGAAAATGTCGTCTGGCTTCAGGAGCGTAACTATGTGTCAAGATATCTTTTTTGTAATTAACTTTTTACGTTTCTGAGGTAGATTCTATTAGAATGGTATAAAAATAAATTATCTAATATAAATTATTATTCCTTTAAAAGACGATATATTGAGCAATAGTTCACATTTGTTTTAATCTTTGCAATCTAATTGCAATAAAGAAAATTTTGGAACAAAATATAATATTTTTTCTCTAAATGTTGTAGGATTAAATAAGGATCGCATTTTATAAAAGTTGTGTTTTTTTGTTTTGTAATGTAATAAAGTCATATAAATACGGGTGAAAATATTAATAGATACAATACTGTTACTTGTGTGACTGCTATATACGTCACCGGGGATCGATATATCTCGAATCTCGAACCATAATACGATACGATTGTCGATTTTACTAATTCATTGACGTTATAGCTTCTTCTCCTTAATATTCCTTTTTAGAGTAATTCGGATTAAGTTGAAGACGACACGGTGCGTATAAGTAGTGCGATAATTGCAAAGTGCGTAATTCATATAAGCGTAAGAGAGATTTTATTTAATATAGGCGAGCGTGGATAACATAAATTTCTACATTCGATTACAGATAACAGGTTCCGTTATTATTTTCCAAAACAGTGTGGGATAATCAGAAGCGGTAAAATGACGGAATCTGAGAATATTTTCTTATTTGTGCCCAACATTATTGGTAAATAAAGGTCCACAATCTAGCGTCCTTATGACAATTTGTGTCTATAATTTTAAATTTTTTGTAGACAAAAATATTGTGTGAATATTTTGGAAAATCAAAATAACTAAAAAAAGAAGATTAAAACAATATTGATAGTATAACGATAGTTTATGTATAATTTATTATCTAATATTAAACAAAAAAGAATAGATTGCAAATTTAAAAAAAGAATCATACAAAACAGATATTTTTAAATATACAAGTAATATAACACTAAAATTGTATTTTTTTATTCTTATTGATTTTAAACAATAAAATGATTAATTGAACAGAATTTATTCATAATATATTTATACATGCATATTATTTTATAATGTTTGAATTCGTTTGCTACATTAATGAAATAGAATGATGGCTATGTAATGTATATTCATATATGTTTATCATTTCTGATGAATGGTTATGAAGATTAGCTATCTTTGATACATGCATTACAAATTTAAAAAACTTCTTATTGCTTGCAGTTTAATTGGGAATATGATAAGAAAAAGATCAAAAGCATTGCACTTTATAGACTTCCTATATTGATTCATAGTAATTCAAAGAGAGTAGTTTTTTATATAACCTTTCATTATATATTTCAAATAAAAACATTAGAATTTTATATGTGTATCAATACTATTGAAATTCTAATAAGTTAAAAAAGATATAGAAGTAATATAATTAAGGACAGTAATAATAAATAATGTATATATATATATGTATGTATTAACAGGCTATGGCAGAGTGATTTTGGCTATCATATCTTTTTATTTTATGAGAACTAATTATGTTATTGCATCATGGTGTTACATTATTAGTGCACTATTAGATGCAGTGGATGGTCATGCAGCAAGATATTTCAATCAAAGTACCAAATTTGGTGGTATGTTAGATCAGTTAACTGATCGTGTTGGTACCATGTGTCTTTTAGCTACATTGTGTATGTTTTATCCATCATACTCATTCTGGTTTCAATTAAGCATGGCCATTGACATTAGTTGCCATTGGATATATTTGCATACGTAAGAATAAACTTCATTCAAATGTATTATTATATCACCATACAAAAATATAAGAAAATATAATATTATAGATCACTTTTGCAAGGAAAAACAAGTCATAAATTTATTGATATGTCTGAAAATGCGATTATGAGTGTGTATTATACAAATCGTATAGTCCTATTTATTATGTGTGCTGGTAATGAAGCCTATTATGCTGCGCTATATCTCCTTTACTTTACAGAAGGACCTACTTGTAAGTTATTATTTCTTTATGTATATATTTTATTAACGCTGTTATAATGAATACTATAAAATGTATGTTCTTATTTCAGTTCTCGGTATAAGTTTATTTAGATTGGTAATGTATCTTTCTGCACCAATAGCATTTGTTAAAACCTGTATCTCATTGTTACATGGATACGTAGCCTGTATTAATTTAAGCATTATTGATCTGAAGGAAAGACAAGAGCGTTTAAAAGTGAATTAAGTTATTGCATTTATTAAGTATTTAGCCAAAATAAAGATGATTCATCTTCCTAAGTTACATAAATATTTATATTATATTTTTATCAATTTATGTAACTGAATGTGCCACATTTGGAATTAAAATCCATGAACTATTTTAACATTAAGTAGATAAATGGTGCTAGTCATTGTTGAATTTCTATTTTAATAACAAGCATATTGTGAGCATTATATATATGTTATACTTCAGTACAGTTAAATTTTTAAAATATTCAAACAAATATTAATTCAGTAGATCTCATTATATTCTTGTATTTAATAAATGATTTTATATTTTCAAACGATACATAAAACTTAATGATTTTTTTGAAAATTTTTTTGTAGAATAGTATTAAGAGAAGATTAATAAATATACTAGATGTTATTGGGTTTCAAATATTTTAATGTAATATATTAAAAGTATATTTAATATATATTATAATTTCATATTTGTATATCATTTTATACATTGTAGTGTTACATTTTTGCTGTACTTCATAGTTTATTGTATATTGATGTATCTAATCTGATATATAAATCTGATGCAAAAGATGTATAAAATTTAAAGAAAATATTTAATAAATACTTTTGCCCCTTATATAATATTAATATTATCTTTATTGTAGCATAATTGTTAATACAAAATATTATAAGCATATCATATCGATATTATATGTGACTAAAGAACATATATAATGGATCGTATCAGTTTAACATACATAAAAATTAATTATCATTAGATATTTATTGCTACGTATAAACATTTTTTCATCACATGCGTCAATTCATCTGTTGCTATAAAGATTTTTACTCACTATAAACATCCTCAAATATTTTTTGAGATTTCGAAAAGACGATTATTTATCACGTTCAAGAATTCATATAAAAGCGATAGGGTATAAAATAAAATAAAAAGTAATATAGAAATTTCTATAATATTGCATCAATCTATGTAATCTACTATATCTACAACAAAATTTATAAAAAGTGAAGCAATACAATATGCAATGTAAATATCATTTGTTGAATGAGATATTTATAACATAGCTATTATTACTATCAGGACGTTCTGCTAAATCATTATAAAAACAACAGATAAATTATACAATGTGACACGTGTTTTTTTTAATTATAACAAAATTCTATGGAATATACGCAATATACATATCTATTGTGATGTTCATTAACTTAATGTGGCTAATAGTGCTACCAATTTATAATTATACGGCATTACTTAAATGACAAAATGATCAACTAACCTCAAAAATTTCGTTCTCATTCCCCCGTCATGGCCAGTCATGTTTCGGCGCCATGTTAACACTTCAAACATTCGCGCATGTTGGAAAGTTCAGAAAATTTGTGCGAATTTCTTCTTGTCGTTAAACCTTCTGAAATGAAACTTTCACCAATTACGCTTAATAACATGAACAAAAACGTCTCACTTCGATGATATTTATAGTTTGCACTGCATTGTGATACACGAAACAAAGTACAATATTTATAAAAACAGATGAGAATTCTTCACCGGCTTACTATGGATGATTCGTGACACGACAGCGCCAATGTCGTCAGCTGCCTGTAAAATGGCGGGATTTTACCGGTATTTGAATTTGCGGCTAACCATCGTATTGTGTGCAAGATAATGTTAATTACAAAAGCATACATTATACAAATTAGGTATTCCTATTGTACGAGTTATGGTGACAAACGATAATTTTGTAATTTTCATGTTTCAATTTATATCTTTCGTTAAACCTAATAATGGTGTGGAATATTTCAGATTTCGAGAACGAACATAATCGTTTATAAAAATTATTTAAAGATATCAGCAATTTATATTTATCTAATCGATAAATATCGATACATATAAAAGACATTAACAGATTATAATTTTCATATATGTTTGTATTAAATAAATTAATATTACCTATTATGTTTTAAATATGATGTATTCATGACATGTTGTGTAATTTAATGTACTCAATTTTTATTTTGTTATGTATTTTGAAGGAATAAAATGTTAAAATATAAGTGGTATATTTTTTAAATATTTATTTTTCAGTTCTTGATTTTTAAAACTTAGTATTTTAAATACTTATTATTTATTATTATCACTATTATTACATAGTTCCAAATTTCAGTACAAAAATATTATGATTAATAGATAATTATACATATATTGGTACATAGCAAGAAGATTATGTATAGAATATGCAAATATTATATTCATTGCATACATTAGTTACTAATTTAAAATTTTCACACAGTAAGAAATAAAAATTTATGATGTTGAGATATGAAAATAGCTTTCATTAACAGCTTGTATCTTCAGAAAATAATAATTAAAAGAATAAATAGACAAAAAATAAAATGCAGATTAGATCAAACTTAAGGAACGATTAAATTGCTTACAGTATTTATTATTCACGCAATACAGTTATGAAATTTTCTGCAAAATTGAGATCTGCTCTTGAAGGATATAGCAGTTTCATATTACCTTCCATATCTACCACTTTTACTTGTACTACGAATAATTTATTATAGTTTGAAGCATTTTCTTGTTCTGAGAGACATCCCAAGCCAAGGGTGATTAGTTCCTTTAAAAACTGATCTAATACATTTCTAACAAAAAAAAAATATACGATTATGTTATAACGTAATTCAAATCATCCAACATCGTTAATTATTGTTTATTATTAATTTTAATAAAGCTAATTACGATATAAGATTTGTACTAAGTAAATATTGATTGTATGTTATTAATAAATTATAATGTTACCTGCAGATCTGATATGATAAAGCACTGGTTACTTCTATTAACATCTCTTGAGTATTTACTGACATTTTTGTAATATCGCTATTTGTTATTGGTGGGAACGATATAACCTGTTCTGAAGCATCTAATAAACAGGGAAACATAGGTTTACCTTCTAATAGATAAAGATACTTGTGAATGCCAGAATATACATTGCGTTTCTTTTCTTTTCTTAAATTATCAGCTTCAGTTTGTAACTGTTGAAACAATGCAGAACCAGTGTAAACCTTATTACGCATTAGTGGCTTGATTTCTAATTCATTTGGTGGTTTTGCTGTGTACATTAAATCTCCTAAATATTAAGCATGATATTAATAAAATGTAATTCCATATATGTAAATTGTTTGTTTCTGTTATATTTACCAGGGGTAATTAATTTTAAATCATGTGTAGCAATAGTAGCTGCGTTTCTTCTTTCACATATACCATCATGTAATTTAGTTTGAAGTTGGATAAATTTCTTGAAAGTATCCTCTGTGAAGCTTATATTTCTAACAATACAAGCTGCGATATAGGGTCTAATATTTTTCACATATTTTGTAATCTTAATTAATGGTGTATCATTTGTTACTTTTAATACTTTCAATTTATGTGTTAAAATTTCCATTATGTTAGCATTATTTTCAGTTTCTGATAATTTTTGTACTTTCTTCCCTTTCTTTGATTTGGCATTTAAAGCAACAGAACCATCTTGTCTAGGGCAATGTAACTTGACATATTCTATTATTTGCTTATTATGGCACTGGTCAACTAACTTTGATAATCTTTTGTCCGTCAATGTATTTCCTTTTAAATACAGTTCCTTTAACTTATTACAGTCAGCTACTTCCCCCGGAATGACTGTAACCATAAAATTAATAATTAAATCAATTTTATAGACAAGATTTTTGTTTTACTCAAGGAAAAATTACCTGATATCAGATTGTCCGCAACATTTATTATTTTTAAGGAAGCAAGTTGATTTATAGTTACAGGAATTTCTTTTATTTGATTTCCATTAACATAGATTTCAGTGAGATGAATCAACTCTGGATAGCATACATCAGGAAAGGCTTCAAACTGATTGTTCGAAAGGTTCAAGATAGTTAACTTAATATTTCCAATTTGCGTAGGTAAGGATCTCAGAAGATTGGAACTGAAGTTCATAGTTGTTAATTGCGGAAGTTTACCGATTTCATCCGGCAAAGACGTCAATTTGTTCCTAGAGCAATCGAGAACTTTTAATTTTCCTAATTTCTCGATTGTATTAGGTATCTTTGATATCTCGTTCGAATGCAATACTAGAGTTGTCAGATTTTGTAACTTTCCTATTTCCTCTGGCACTTCTTGTAAGCATGTCAGCGTGATATTCAAATAATTTAAGTGCTGTAGGTTAAACAAAGAATTATCAAACCCTCTTTTTTGAATCAATTCAGAAATTGCCGAACCTGACAACACTAATTCGTGTTTATTCTCTGCAGCGGCAGTTTTGATCACATGCCACGAATTATTGAGTGTCATTGTTTATAAATATTAAACTACTAGTAAAGGAGCAATGTTATTTACGTCGTTTCAAGGTTACTTGCCCGGTTGTTCAGTTTGAAAACGTGCGTTATACGATTAGAACGACATCTATGTAAGTACATAAGTATTTTGGTATTTATAGATACATACGCGTGCGATTTAAAAATACGTTTTAAGCTAAATAATAAATTTTTGGAACAAATTTTAGTCTAATGTCATTTTTATATCATAATATGAAGTTTAAGTATAAACTTGTAAAAATATATTGTAAAATGATGATTGTTTTCAAAGACGAAGTATATTTCCTACATTTAATGAAAAATTATTGATGTTAAAGTTAGGCAACAATTTCAACTCGTGTGATACAGAAACTTAAACCCACGTACAGAATTATATAGGAATATTTTGATTAAAATAGCACGTTTGACGTATAAAATTATTAATCAATCATTTATTTAGTAATGAAAAATTGTTGCTCTTTTTGGTCTTTAAAATATTGTTTATGTGTATTGTTTGCTACTAAAGGAAGAAGAATTATTATATAGTTATTAAATGATAGATATAATTTTATTGCTTTATAACACTCTAACCCAAGTGTTAACTTTGTTAGTGTTAACTTTTATACATATTTCAGAAGAGATGTATTTATATGTTATATATCCTTGGGTAGTAATAAATTTTCAAGAAATTAATTTTCATCATGTACATATAAGTATATACACACACACGTTTTAATTACATTATATATGTTTTAATACGTTAACAAATTTATACATAAATTATCAACTTCTTAAAAATTCTCTTTATCCAATTGTAGAAATTTTATGTTTATATTTTTCTCCAGTAAACATTTTTTTAATTTCGGAAGTGTCGACCCACATGTAAATGAAGCTTCTAATAAATGCAAATTATCGCATGGGAGTTTAGGTTTGCAACTATCTTGTCAGTACAATAGGGAAGAGGGTATCGTGTAAAAATTTATCTTTTGACGCGATTCAAACAATTACTTGTTAGTATATATTGAACCGGTTTTTAACGTTTCTCACCTTGATACGGTTTTCCTTATCTTAGACGAATAATACCTTATCGTAGAACTGGAAAATGTAATTATTGAAATTTTTACCAAAACGCGGCAAAATTTTGTACGTGACACGAAGTGTACGAAAACACTGTTTTACGAAATAATAATCATGTAATATTCATGAGAGGGGACCGTTTTGGAAAGAGATAAATGTTCGATCGCTCTTATGATTCATTGACACATTTAAGATGCCTTTAATAGCTATAGTGAATTCGATGGAAAAGAGGTAAGTGACAGATATTATATACGACTATCATCTATGTACGATGGTGTCTTCGAGCTGAAGTTCCCGGCAAAAAGAAAAAGAGTATCATAAACCATAACCACTGGCGTGGTATATATGAAGAAAGACATTATTATTGGCCTTCGGGGTTTATAGCCATCGTCGTGAAGGAACTGGCAAGGTCCATAGGAAATATCGAGTAACGATGATAGAAAAGATCTGTCCACTGACATTTGCATCTGAATAAAGTGCGAAGGAGGATGTTAATTTCGACTGGTGTGAAAGACCGCTTAGAACGGCGTGTTAATAATACTTTGCTACTTGAAGTGACAATGCCAACCAGAATTCAGACGTGTCTTTTCTTCCGCATTTGCAAATAAACATTTCCGATCTTTTATATACGAAGTGAATTGAATCGCTCGTGTTATCTAAAAAAAAGAAGTCAATTGGTCGACGTACAGCTTATTTTTAGAAATAAAAAGTTTAAAGAGGAAGAATAAAATCTTTTATTTTTATTTCATATCTCTGTTATATAATTTTTTTATTTAGAGATCTCCTATCTTTTTACGTCGTCATTTTATCTTTGTCAGAAATAAACTATGTCATATTTACATTTGCAACTATTAAAACTCGTCTAACTGAAATTGATTTATTTCTATTAATGTTTATCTTCATAGTTATAGAAATTTCTAGTTTGGGGATGAACCAGTTAATTTAGTAAACTGCATCTTTACTATTTTTATATTTTATAAAATGTAAGATATTTCCCAAATAATGTACAAGACACCCTATTTACCTAAAATTATACAGAAATTTCGTTTAAAAAAGAAAAATAGTAAAATCATATGAAAATGATGTATTTGATTTTAACACAAAATAAAGTTACTTTCTCTATATTATTTCTAAAGCAAAAATAATAAAGTAGTTAAAACGAGTCATTATGTCAAGTTATATTTATTTTAAATAACATTTATCCAAGTCAGTTTTAAGCTTACAATTAGTCACTCATACCGCAAACTCCAATCTTTGTAAACAACTTAACTAATTCCACCACCCAATGCCATCTTTATAACATTGCCATGATCTGTACAAAAAATCGTCGTTTATGAGTCAAGAAATATTATTTACTACTTTATTGGTGACATTCGCTCGTCGTGTTACTCCTCCACGTATCATCATCCCATACACCGAAGTGGCGTACGTGCCTATCGCGTAGTGGAAGCCTTCGAGGAACCGCGCCAGCAAATCTTGACTTCCTATTACCCAAAGTCCACGGTTATCACCAACCGTCCCCGATCGCTTCCGTATCGGGCGGAAACATCGGGTAGATCCACGGGTGGGGTTTCTTTAGGTGCGTATAAAGTCGGAAAGAACCGGCCGATTTTCGTCAGTGGAATCGATTCGAACAGCAGCGAAGATCCTTCCACATGTTCTTTTCTTCGAAGAAATTCACCATGAAACGTTGCTCCATCGTTTGTTCTTTCGCATTCATTTTATTGACTTCTGCATCAGCTTGGCCGTTTCGGCGTCGAGACGTGCTGGATAATGCAGTGGATAGTCCTGATGGAGTGATTGCTCATTTACAACATTTTGGCGAGATGCTGTATCGCAATCCGGACAATGAAACTGGAGCAATGGTAGCGAATTGGCACGAGGGCTGGGATCGTAACCCGGAAGAATTGGGCAACTACGCGGAAGGTGATATTTTGTTTCCGCCACAACTCGAGAAGAATGGCTTGAGAGCGGAAGCTGCGCGATGGCCTGGTGGTGTAGTACCCTATATGCTTAGTCCTTATTTCAGTAAGTAGTATTGCGTGTATGCTATCTTGAATTTTTATAATGGTACAAGATGACACGATAGTCTATGGTTGGTTGTGTCTTAAAACATCATTTTTGGTTTTTTTATTAATACATAGCGAGATAAATTTTGCTTTATTAAATTAAGAGAAAAAGACGATGCTTCAGTAGGGGAAAGAATAATATTATAAATAAAATTCGATAATGTTATTTACACATAAAATAATTAAGAGAAGAACTTATTTGATTGAATAATTGTAAAATGATATCTGAAGTATAGTGTATTTACTGAAACAGAAATTTAGAAAATCTAGAATTATTAGATTTTCAATATGTTATTATGAAATACGAGTTTTTTTTTTTATCAATTTTCTTAGTTCTTATAATATTTCATAGTAATATACTGTATTCATCGTTGCTGCAGCTTATAGTGTTTTTATTTTATTACAGCACTTCATAAAGAAATGTTTAATAAATCGGTGAGAAACGTGACAGCATAAGAGAAAATCTTTTAGTGAATTTGATTGAATTTAATTACAGATTCGGCGCAGAGAAACTTGATTTACGAAGCTATGAACGATTACCATAAGTTCACGTGTATTAAATTCAAACCCTATACTGGGGAGGAGAACGATTACATCAGGATCACGGCTGGTAATAGCGGTTGTTGGAGCAGCGTGGGAAGAATCGGTGGTCGACAAGACGTGAATCTTCAAGTACCAGGCTGTATGGTGAAGAAAGGAACAGTGATACACGAACTGATGCACGCCATTGGATTTCTGCACGAGCAAAGCAGATATGAACGGGATGAGTACGTCACGATTCAATGGAATAACATTTTAAACAGTAAGTGACCTGTTGTTGTTTTTGCTGTTGTATTTCGAATAAGTAATTTATATTTGAACAGATAATTTGCTGCTGGCTTCCTATTACTGTTTTTATAACATAACATTTTATCATATAAGCAGCTGTTAGAATAATGACAAGTTTTTAATTTGTACGATATCAAAGTTTTGAAATTCTTGATATCCAATAATTTTATTCCAAAATTAATATATTTTATATATTTCTTCTTTTATGAATTTTTAACACAGTTTTTATTATTTCATGCACTTTTGTCCTAATTCGAAATTCCTAAACACGAATGTATTAATTATATTTAACTAATATTATTAACTAACATCACAATACTCGTCTGACGTTCAAATAGTATATCTTAAACATTGGTTACAAGTTCTTCTCTCTGAACTCAGTTTGCGAGTGCAAAAATTGATAAAGCATGTATGTAAATAATAAGCAATGTATCATTATCTATTTAGGCCATGCTGGGAATTTTGAGAAAGCCTCGAAGGAAACCACCGACGCGTTCGGGGTCGGATACGATTATGGTAGCGTAATGCATTACTCTGCAAACGCGTTTTCCCGGAATGGACGTCCCACCATAGTACCAAAAGTGAGTAATGTAATAAGCTGAAGTCATCAAGGTCTATAACTTTCTATTTATAATTCTAAGTGATTCTGTGATTTTTCGAGATCTCGTAAATATGAATGATCGATTACCAGCAGTTTGATTAATTTTAATATCATATTACGTCGTTAATTACATCGTTTTTTAACAAAGATAATATCTCATCTTAAAGATCTCGTAAATCTGTTTGGCATTTATGAGTTTGTGGACCTTGGAAAAAACAGACATAGATATATGACAGCAATTAGAGATAATTCTGTTTTATTAATCAAACCAGCTGGTCTTAGTATTTGTATGAAATCCACGGATTATTATAATTTCACAAATAAGTATTGTTATTTTATATACATATACTTTTCTGTTACGTTATATTATAATTTCAAATTCTTTCCGATAAGTTAGCAAAATTTATTGCTATTTTTACTCTCATAATGCCTACATTCTCAGTACATGTTTTTGTAACGTCCGCGAATATTTTGCTAACATGTCTGGCATTATCGGACATTTGTAGCGACCTCATACAAT